AGTTTTACCTTTCATTAGGTGTTTTACATTGATCATCATCAAATTGTAAATCCGTTGTTGAATCTGGTAAAATATTATCAATTAATGTTGTTGCTAAACAATTAAGTAATTGTTGTTTTTGTGTATTATCATTATAGATAAGTTCATTAAAAACAGTTGTCATTAATATTGTATATTGTTCAATATACTAAGAAAAAAAGAACAAGAAGATAATTCAAATGTTTATTTTGTTTTTTACTTGAAATGGAATTCTAACAAATCGATCATTAACTAAATTTCGTTTAAATGAACGTGATAATACACGATTTGAATTAATTGTATTAATACTAAGATTTTGTTCAAGAAGTGAATTAGATGTATCAATTGATCGACGATTTATATTTGTATCATCGAGTTTATCAAAAGGCTAAAAAAAAAAGCAAAACAATTCGAAAAAATAAAAAGTTTAAAAAACAACAACAAAACATTTGAATATTTTACACTTAATTTTGGTATAATAAAATCGATTAATGTTGTTATAATAAAAAGATGAAAATCATGATTCTTAAAATGAATAAAATTCAAAAGAGCATCACGCCAAAGAATTAAATTATCAATTAAATTATCATCATTATCTTCAATTATTTTCATATGTATATCTGTAAATGAACAAGCTATTTGTAGAATTTGTTCATATGTTGGTTGAATTTCATAATATTTTAATTGAAGTAATATTGGAAGTATAAGATTTGAATTTATTGTATTTTCATTTAATAATCGACTAAAATGATCGATTAATGACCATATTGTTGAATGAATTGAGCGACTAAAAAAACCAAAATAAATTATAAAAAAATAAAGAAAATAATAGTAATTTTTAGAAACAAACTTATTTGATAATAGACGTTCATCAATAAGAATTAATTGTAGAAGATTTTCAAGACATATGGATAATTTTGATGAATTATTTTGTTCAAATATTAAATTAAGTGCATCATGAAGACAATTTGGATAATAATATTCAAATTCAAGACGTATATCTTGAAGAATATCAAGCTAAAATAGTTAAAAAAAAACAACAACAAGGAATGAAATACTTTGTTTAATATCGAAAAATTAAAAATTATTTATTTATTTTTTTAACAGAAAAAAAAACAACTGCTCTAAATGACACTCGTCGTTTGAGCTCATATTGGACCCACAGGCAGGTCTCAGTGAGAATAGCAAAAGCCTAAAAGTGTTTGTTCTCAATAAGTCAAACAACAGAATTTCTATCTAAAATTTTGAGTATAGATAGATCTAATGATACTTAGAATGTTCTGAAAGTTTCACTCAAAAAGAATGTTCCTTCATCAAGATATTGAATTTTTCAAAATAATCCTTTGTCATAAAAATCGACTTCATTTAAAAATTCAGTAACTCGACGAAGGAACATTCTTTTTGACTGAAACTTTCAGGATATTCTAAAAATCATTAAAACTATCTATAGACAAAATTTTGGATCAATACTCCGTTATTCAACCTTCAGGAGAATACCTAAAAATAGGTCAAAATTCCAGTAAATTGGTCATAACTCAGACTCAAAGACTAATAGAGACGAAACCTTTTAGGCTTTTGTTTATATTGAAATAAAGATTTAATAGAAGATTTTGATTTCAACATTCTGTTTTTTTGGCAGTTTTGATCAACACAACAAAATTCTATTAAAAAAATATCAACCGGCAAATGTTTCTGATCACAGTTAATAGAGAATATGATCATGAATATATAAAAATAAAGTTCTATTGTCGGTTTATTTTCAACATATGGATGTCATTCAAATATAATCTCCTGCTCTTTACTAGTTCCATATGAGTCTGGACCACCATATGTATCCCATTTCAAACTTTTATACTCCTCCGCTACCTACACGAGCTATATATCATTGAAGTTTATTCTAGACTCTTCCAACCGTTTACTTTGGATTGTCTCATCTATCATATTATAATATAGAAAAATTTGAATTTCCTGGAAAAATGGAATTTACTATACCCAAATTGTCTGAACAAAAAGTATCAATCATAATCCTTCTCACCAAAAAAATCTTCTTATCTAATTAGTTTTCATTCAGGATATATTGTGTTATTAAAAATTTGTGATATAAGTTCTACTAATACTACTTAAATGGTAATCTATCTTCTAATCATTAGTAGACAAACAAATTTATATAGAATCATATCTTACTGAAGTTTTACTTGTAAATATATATTGAATATATTTAAGCATAGTCTCATCTCCATTATAAAGTGCAACATTAAAACATAGATCATTAATAAAATCAATTTTTTGTGAATGTTTTGTATAGATTAATAAATCAAGAAGCTGATCAAATGAAATACGTAATGCAGCTAATATTGGTATATTTGGTTTTTGATTATCTTTTTGTAAACGAAATTTACAATGACATTCATGACATAATTTTTGTAAAATATATTTACAACAATCACGTAATGTTAATTCAATTTCATCTTGATCTATGAATAATATAAGATAAAAAGAATAGAAATATTTATTTGATTTTTTCTTTTACCTGCTGATGTATCATTATGTATAAAACTTAGAATAAATTGAATTATTTGTAATGCATCAGTTCGAATTCGTATAAGACCAGATATAAATTCATCAGTTAATCTTTAAAAAAAAAAAATTTCTTTTTTAAAAAAACAAAGAATCCTTTTAAACAAAAAATATTTTACTGTTCAATATCTATTGTTTTTGTTTGTCTTATTGATGAACATAAACGACGTAAACTAAGTGAATTAAGAGATCGATAAAGTGAATAATAGACAATATCACATAATGGACCAGTAACAACAGCTGATGCCATACGTATTAATGAAATAATTGAAACATGTTTTTGAATATCATCACTTGTTAATAATAACTATTGAACAAAAAAAGAAAAAAGTAAATATTATTTATATTTTTCTGTTTTTGTTTTTGTTAATATAAAAACTAAACTTGAATTTGTTCCATTAATACTTGATGAAATATTTGTGGTTCTTGTGTAGCAATAACTTCAAGTGATGACCAAACAGCAAATATTCTTTCAATACCATGGAACATTTGTGATTGATTTTTTTCTTGTAAACTTAATTGAATTAATCGTGATATAAGTGTTTGACCACATCGTAAACTAAATATATAAAATAAAGAATTACAAATGAAAAAAAAAAAAGAAACAAAATTTTTTTACCTTAAAGATACTGTAACCCAATCAAATTCAGGTCGAATAAGTGTTGATGCTTCAAGATATTTATTCAATGCATTATCTGCTGCTGTTGTACTGAGAAAAATAAAAGAGGAAGAAAGATTAATATGATTGATAAATTGATAGATTTTGATATATACTCATGTAAAATACATGTTGAACATATTTTAATTAACGTCATTGCTGCTTGACATTGTGTCCATAATTGAATTCTATCTTCAAGTGTTTTACATTTTTTAATAATTGATTCATTAGTATATCGTATTGTTAAATTAAATAATTGATCAATTGACCACTATAAAATATATTTCCTTATTAAGATTTTATCAAATTATTTCTTAACAATCTATTTTCTGTTTAATTAATTTCTGCTTTTTCCTCGATTTAATCTATGGTAAAAAAAGTTTTGACACAAAATATTGGCTCATTTTTGAATACTATTTTGGTCAATTTTGTATTTTGATTGAAACCTAGCAAATTCAAACTACAATATAGTTTTTAATGGCTCAGTTTGCTCTACAAAGCGTGCTATTCACTTTTGCATGACTGATTTTAAAACTTTTGTACTTTTAAAAACAGTTTTTGAAAAAAAAAACGATTTTTTGACCAATGTCGATTGCTGTAGAATTCAGTACTCTACAATAATGTTCAGTTGAAGCTATTTCAAGACACAAACTAAGGAGTACGCCAAAACTGTTATTCTGCTTTGTGCAGACATAGTTTTAGACTTTTTCACGAAATTTACTGATAGCTGCTCAATCTTACTCCAAAAGGAGAATCTTCGCATATATTCGGAAATAGTGAAATGTTCTGATTTTAACAAATAGTTTCTGGCTCTAACCAGTTATCTTTTAATGTTAATACTTTCGCGCTCAAGATTTTTTTTTTCAGCATGGTTTCACTCTAGAATAATACAATTGATCGATCTACTGTTAAATATTTTAACTATCGCGATTTTTCGGAATTCGAGACTGTCTTGCAGAGTTCTATACAGTATCGAATTTTTCTACTCATCTCTAAAACATTTCATAGATTCGCTACACATAATTTATATTGTATAATAGAATTATTATGAGATTTTAATTTAAAAAGTTTTGAGAATTTAAATTATTTGAATAGAATTTGATAGTAATCACATTTGAAATAAATACTTCAAATTGATAGTATGAATCTATTTCATAGTATATCTTCTTATTGATTTTTTTGCTTAAACTTACTTGAGCGAGAATATTTGCCCAACTATGTGATTGTATAGCTAATGAAATTAATTTTGTTTCAATTGTTGTTAATAAATCACTAACACCTATAAAATAAAAAAAAACCGTATTAAAATATTCTTCTATCTAATAAAATTATATATATATATATATATTTATTACTTGTTATTAATGATTCATTTTGAATAAAACAATGTACACTAATACTAATTAATGAATTAAAATAATCAAAAATAGCTTCACGTGCTGATGGAATCGTCGTTAATAAATTTAAACAAATCGAACATGTACGTTCAAGATTAACTGGAATTGTTAATGTACGATAATCTGCTGAATGACGAATAAAAAATGCAAAATCTTGTGATAATTGATCCGATGATGACATCTTTAAATAAAAAGGAAAAAAAAGAAAAACAAATTTATTTTATTAATCAAAACAAATATATTTATTAAATAGATATGTCTTTGTTTTTTGTTTTTTGTATTCTCATAAAATTGTAGAAGAAAAAATAAATATATATATATAAGATAAACAAGATCATTCGTACAATAAATTAAAAGATACAATTGCGTTTTCGAATAGCTAAATGACCATCATATAAAAGTGAAAGACTAACACGATGTTTAATATTTGTTCCTGAACGACGTATAAGTAAATCATTTCTACCAACTGTTAAAACAAGTGCAGGAACAATTTCAAGATCATCAAAAACTAAAAGTATTGGTGAATTACGTGAAAACCATGCACGTTGATACCATAAGCGACCTTCTTCAATACGAACATCAATAAGAGATTTTGTTGATAAATCATCAATTTTAGTTTTAGATGTTTCTTTTTCAGTTATACATTCATCATGACAAAGACCATTTTGAACATCTTTTATATCTTGTTCAATATCTATATTTGATAAACGGCGTTGTAATTCAATACCTCCAAATGGTGGTAATAAAGAATTACTTCTACTAAATATAGATAAATCTTTTAATGATGTTGATGTTGTTGAAGAATTTTCGGAAATTGAGTCATTAACTACTGCTCGTCTTAAATTATATGTTGGACGTTGTGGTTGTTGTTGCTGTTGTTGAGTAGATTCATTTGAATGATGATTATAACCATCAAATAGAATAATATCATTTGTATTATTTGTTTTATTAAGTATAAATTGATCATTGTTTGACAAATGACGACAACGAATATTTACATTTTGATATTCAAAATCTAAATAACGACGTTTATCATGATATGTTGATAATAATTTTGATTTAAAATCATTTTTTTTTAATTGAAATGTTTCATCAGATTGTCGTAATTCATATGCATACATATGTTCAATTGTATTAGATCGATAAAAATGCCAGAGATTTAAAGTATTTACCTTAAATATAAATCCTATATATAAAAGATATCTTTAATTTCATAAGAAAAATAATTGACAATAAAAACGATCGATCAGAAAAAAATACAGATATTTGAAATACATAAATATTCAATTGTTGTATGAAAATTTTCAAAACAGAATTCATAACAGGATTGATATTTCTGAAAAGCATCTCGAATAGGAATACAATGTTGAATCATATATCACAAACCCATCGTCACTATTTTCATTCTTCAATAATGACATCGGATTCTCTTCAATATTTTTCTTTTATCTATACAATTAGTTTTATAGAATTTAAAATTTTCATTCCACAATGATCAGTATGACAGTTTCTCTTTCTCATTCAAAATAATGTAGAAATTTTCTGTTATACGAAATAGAAATGCGCAAGATTACTCTATCCTACTCTGAAGGATAGGATAAGGTAAGAGTTAGAAAATATTTCTCACTCAGGGTATGACAAAAGCTAATCCTTCATATCTCTAATACGAAATCTACTTTCTCAGAAGCCCTAATTTACCATAGTAACCAAATCATATTAGTTTTTATTCAAATCAATAATATTGATTAACATTCAACTTACTAATAAATGTTCTTTTTTTTTCTTATCTGTATACTTTTTCAAATGAGAGTTATTTCATAATTGTAAGATAAAAGTAGAGAAAGATCTTTCTAAAAATCAATTTCGTAGTTTTTTTTTTTGGCATACTTGTTTATCATGTAATCTTAATAATTGATTTAAACGTTTTTTATATTGCACATGATGTTCATCATTATTATCACTGGTTTGCTGTTCCGTAAGAAGGTTACTTGTTGTATAAGCTATATCTCGTTGTGTTAAATTTTTTAATTCTTCTCGTAAATGTTTTAGACGTTTTTCAATCATATTTAATGATATTTTTCTATTTAATAATTTATTCGATGTTGAATTAGACGAATGTCCTATTGATTCAATTGAGCACATAATAAATATTTACACGTCTACTTTTTCTTTTTTTTAAAAATAAACAATATTTATCATCTAGAATAAAACAAAGAACCAAAATACTATCAAATCACTAAACAAAACAAAAGAAAAACGGAAAATATTATATTACAAAAAAAAAAGAAACATAAGATTTTTTTCTCTTTTCAATACAGCATATACATTTAATCGGTGATAATACATGAAACTACAATTATTTTCGACTATTTAATATTAATCTTAAATCATCTTCGCATTCATCATCTTTAACAGTCCATTTTGGTAATTGAAATATACTAAATGCTCCAACAAGACGTTTTCGTGCTGCTTGTTGATGTGGCATTGGTGATAATATTCCACTTGTACCAATATTATTCATTGTTAATAATGTTGAAAATTCATCATCATTTATATTTGATGATGATGATGTTTGTTGTCCTATATCAGGTCGTTGTCGAAAATTATATGCTTTAGCTTGTAATGGATGTGGTGGTTGCATAGTAACAAGTAATGGATCAACATCAAATGAACGGGAATGTATATCAATAGCTGAACGCATTTCATCAACAACTAATTTACGTTTACGTCGAAGACGATCAAGTAAAAGTTCTTTTAATTCACTTTTTTTTGCAGCAAAATGTGCTCGTGTACAACGTGTTTCTAAATCAAAACGACGATCAATACGTTCTTCTTCAATTTTATAACGAGCTTTTAATTGTAAACAATTATAATGATAATTTTCAAGTAAAGATTTTAAACGGTTTGAATCAACTGATGAAGAATTTGAATGTTGTTGTTGTTGTTGTTGTTCAAGTGCTGCTAACTGACCATATAAATTAACTAAATGAGAATCAATTATTGATGATGATAAACGATGATTATGACGACGTTGTTGTCGTTGTTGCTGCATTGTATTGCTATTTAATGAATGAAGTGGTAAATCAGATGTTAATGTGGAATTAGATTGAATTAATGAAGATCTATTCATTCTATTAGTTAAATTAAATGTATCATTGACAAATATGAATAAATAAGAAAAAAAAAAGAAAACAGCTAACAAGTCTTATCTCCAATGGATAGTTTTAATCATCCAATCAAAACTTTACTGTAGCTCAACAAAATGTGACATCTATATAACGTTGACGTCTTTAAAAAATCCAAAGTAGAAATTGCTAGGTAATAAGTATGTCCATATTTGATTCAATGAAATTACAAATTTCAACAACATCTTTACACTGAAAAATGGCTTACGTCGTTTTTTGCGTGAAACATAAACCTAAAGTTAACCTATATCAATTGAAAATAGATCAATAATAACGAATAAATATTTTTTGATAACCTAAATGATGCAATATTATCACCATCGGTTTATGTCATATTTTAATTGCGGGTTTATTTAATAGAGAATGTCACAAGATGGATTGATATTCGTCTTGCCCAATGTTCTGTAGGACATTATTACTCAGTTTTCTTATTACATTGTACCACGACCAATTAAGTGACTTTTATATCTTGTCGGATACGCGTCCTGTAACGCTCTCAGTCATTTATTAAATAAACTCCAATAGTTTTCATGTCAAAAAGAGTTTGATTATGATGATAACAGTTCTCTAAAGCATTTTTATCAATATGTTACATGTGTCAACCAATAAAAACCAAAAAATCTTTAATTCTGTATCTTTATAGAAAAAGCAAGATTATATCAACAATTGTCTAATCTGTTTTGCTTTACATATTTGGCAAAAGCATTTCTTTCTATTGCAATCACTGATAAATTTTAAACGATGTTTAAATATTGGATATATTCAGAGCGATATGTTCAACTACTTGGATCATATTCCTTCTAATCATACGAAAAATATTGTATTGATCGTTATGTTTGCTATCGATCAAAGAAAAAAAAAATGTTATTTATCGAACATCTGAAGATGTCAACCCATTTAGTGTTTCAGAACAATTAACCTAAACAACTGAAGATTGAAATTCATCCAGAAGTGTTCAGCGAATATCGACTAATGATACTGAATATGTCTTAGTATTACTTTTCTTTATATTCTGTTCAATAACTTGAACTGCTCAAGTTATAATGACGAGATTGTATTGACAAAAGTAGATTTCAGTGCTTTTGAATAACGATGAAAATAGTTACTTTGCTGACATAGGAAGAATAAGATTTAACGAGTAACTATTCGCAGATGTCGATTTCCTTTTCAGTCGAGACTTGCTGCATCTTGTCGACCTTAATGATTTATATCTATCAGAAAAAGAGTTTTTACTTATGGTCTGTTTCTCAGGAGATTGAACGTATTTTTGTAAATTTTCGCTTTGGGACATCAGAATTCTAGCAAGACCATATTTTCTAGTTTCGATCTGAAAAATTGCTCACATAAAGATCTCGAGTACCGGTAGAAATTTGGAAATATGATCTTACTAAAAATAGGATATCCTACAGTGAAAATTTCCTCCAAAAGTTCGATCTGTTCATCAACAGACCATAAGCATGAACTTTTTTCTTTTTATGGTAGACATAGTTAGCTAAGGTCCATAAGATGAATTAAGCCACAACTGAAAATCAAACTGACATCTGCCAATATTCCCTCATCACTTCACAGAAATCATACTACTGTATTGTTATTATTGAAAGCCAAAAGTATTCTAGTTGTATATTTGTTATTGTCGCCATTATCTCTAATGTATCAATTGTTATTAATAAAAACAATCAATAAACATATTCATCTAACTAATAGATTTCATTTGAATCAAAAAAAATTCATGTGTCTTTTTTCTTTTCTTGAAAAACATATCCATACAAGAAAAGAACCAATATAAAATATTCATATTTTTTGTTAATTTTATTTTATACTTTCAGAAATATAAATCTCATTCAATGCTGTATTACAATTTGAGAAGAATTAATAAAATATGATTATGAAAATGGAAATTAGTAATAATGGAAAAAAAATACTATACAAGACGTAAAAGTGCAAATAAAAACTTAATAAAAGTTCTTATTGATTTGTACTAATAAAAAAAGGGACATTTTTTTCATAAACTTTGTTAGAATCACAGTTTTTTAATTGCGGAAAAGAAAAAAAGATCTGAATAGTACAATTATGATGAGATTGTTTCATATTGTTGTAGGGCACTTTTGATCATTTGAATTTGAGACTAAAGAATAATAAAATTTTTATTTTATTTAAAAATTTACAAATTAAAATTTACTTTTGTATGTTTTATTTGAAGTTCAGTTAATTCAATTAAATTTTTACGAAACATTTGTACTCGTCGATTTTTAAAATTATTCAATTCTAAAAATTAAAAATAAAATCTTATTCTTTTTTCTTTCTTTATTAATTTAAAAAAGAGAAAAAAAAAACAAGTCATATATTACCATCTTTTGCTTTTTCTGAAACAGTTTCAAATTTTATTTTTATATTTTGTTGAATTATTTCTGTTTGTTGTATATCTTTATTTTTTTGTCGTGCACGGTCTAAATTTTTATTAGCTGCATCAAAATCAGCTAAACAACGTGAACGACGATACATTAAATCAAGTGCAGCTTTTGTATCACGCATATAATATTTTAATATATCTGATAATTTAAGATCAATATCAGATCGTATACGTAATTCGGGTTTCTTCAAATTAATATTATGGTTTAATAAGAATATATCAAATAAATCAAAATTCTTACTCGAACGTTTTCAAAAAAATCTGCCATTACAAGAAAATACCTATAAAGAACAAAAAAAAAAGACAAGGAAATCAATTTCAAAAAAAACAAAGTTTTCTTCTTCTTTTTTTACTTAGATAATTCAGTTTTATCCGATCTTGATAAAGTATTTAACCAAATTGATAATTTAATATATGTATCAGTAGCAGCTAGATATAGTTAATTGAGATAAAAATATGTTAAAAGAATTTATTTACTCTTCTGTGTTCGTGTTACTTTGTCAGCAGCTGTTGTCGTATCTTTTATTTTTGTATTATAAGTTAAAAGAAATTGTTTTTGTTGTTCGAAAAATTCATCACTTTCCTAAAAGAAAATTAGTTATCTTTCCATTTCATCGACATAAATGATTTTTCCTTTTTGTCGACACAAATTTTTTTTCGAAGAATCTTAAAATTTTGCCTTGGAGAAAAAGTAATAATCTAAACAGCAATGACACTATACAACATTTTTAAAATGAACGTTACCATCAGTAGAAAGGCAAACAAAACGATTTCGAATTAGCGGGTATGCGTGTTAGAGCTCCTCGAACTGATCTTGCATCCAAAAATTTTGTACCTGACGAGCGCTAGCACTACTAACGTAATGCAAGTATTGTCACCTCTAATTCAAAGTTATGCGTAGTGATTGATGCATTAAAGAGAGATTATATGTTTAATACGACTGCAATGAAACAATTTGACAACAATATAAACAAACCTCCACGAAATAAAAAATTCATTTTTCAGAATCAACGAATTCTTGATTTAATCAAACAGTATGACAGTAATTCGTTTGTCAATAGATGAATATTTTAATAAGATTAATAAAAAATTATATTAATATTTTGTCATTACTATCTAATAAACTCTTATATTCTCATTTCTATTATTACAATAACTTTCTCTAATACAAACTTGTATTTATCTTCTTTTTTTTTTTGATAAAATACTGTGTTGATGATGCAGACAAATTAATTAATTAATTACTCTTAATTTTTCGATGAAATGGAATCAAACTGGTTTACCTTTTGATTTGCTAGGAATACTTCATCAGCTGTTTTTGTTAATGTTTTAAAGAAGCCACTGATTTGTTCTTTAGTATTTTTACCACGTACACTTAACTGAAAAATAGAAATTGAAAAAAATAAATAAATAAATTTTAACAATGATTAAAAAGTATTTACATCTTCTTTATATTCGAGAAATATACGAAAATTATTATCATTATGTAAAATTGGATGTGCAGCAAGACGTTGAAGAAATACTTCATGCATTGAAACTGTTTTTTTAAACATAGCCAAATATTCACTAAATTATATTGAGCAAGAAATAAAAAACCAATAAATATATAGAAAACATCAGATATAATTATTTAAACTTACGCTTCAAGTTCTTGTTTTGTTTTTTCATATTCTTCTCGCGTTAGTGAAGCTTCACTATCACCTAATTTTTGTAATTTAGAACGAGATGAATCAAATTCTGGTCGTGGTGGTGCTGGTGGAATCTAATTATATATATTTAATATTCAAAGAAAAATTAACTAAATCAATAATACAATATTTTAAACTACTCAAAAAGTGTAACTATATGATAGTTGAAAACTTTCATTATCGACAAGCAAAATTACTAAATACAATTTGTCAAGTTACGAAGGACGATGATCAATTGCTTTTAGTTAACTTAAATTGACACAATTGACAAACGATTAATGATACTCTCCCTTTCATGATCTAAAATTTTTGTTTTTCCCATTTTTGGTTTTTTGTGGCTATTTGTTATCTGAAATGGTATCCGTCTACTGAGTACATTTTGAGATTTAGAAATTGTTTTTAAATGTTAAAAAATTAAATTAGTGAAAACTATAATGTTTCTTGTTTTTCCAAAACTAACTTTTTCATGAAACAAAAACTGCAGAAACGTCCCCGTTTCTCGGATTAAGTACGTCCGATCGAACTGAAACTTTTTTCACATATAGCATACATTGTTTTTGGGACGAGAATTTCTTTTTGTTTCAAAAAAATATTATTCTGCTAATATTTGATAGCTCTTACAAAAACGGCTCTATTCAAAAACAGAGCATATGTTCTTTTAGAATACTTTCGTTATTTTGGCTTTTTCATTCAAAGGACAAAAAATAAAAAGATATCCACTTCAAACAGTGTCTAGTGCTCGTAAAAACATTTTCATCTCAATCGAACATCGTATCTCGGAGAAATAGTGCTGAAAATTGGAGCCATTTGTCACTAGTGTGATCCCAATATCCCACAGAAAACACTATCTGGAAACTGTGAGTTTATAACAACTTTTACTCCACTCGTCAAGATCTATCAGCCTTCAAAATTTCAAATTTTTTTTTTGATAAGTCATTCTTCATAACCTTAAGAGAATGGAAAGGGAATCCTTAATGCTCAATTTTAATTAATAACACAAGAGACAATCGATTGCATTTTAAATTTTACAAAACGCAATCCTTCAACAAATAGAAAATCAATGATCAATTTCAAATCATATCCTTAATGAATCAATGAAATAATCTATCAACACTTACAATTAAGCCTGCATATTCTTCATTTTCATTGCATCGATCATGTAACCAAATGAATTCTTCATGTAAACGTGTAACACTAAATTCTGATTCTTGAAATATTGGTGATGTAATCTTAAAAAAATCAATTAAATAGAGATTTTCAAAAGATTTATATAAATATGAATTTACTTTTGTATAAACCGTAAATTTAACTTTATCCTTTTCACTGATTGCATCCGAAATCTCAATTCGAATATCATTATCATTATCATTATCATTAAGATTCACTGTATCAGTACGTGACTGTTAAAAATAGATTTTTAATAAATCTCTAATGTATTCAAACAATTAATCTTACCTCTTTGTTAAGTGCATCTGCACTATTTTCTGGTGACTAGAAATAAACAAAAAATTCAAGTTCAACCTTATTTGTTTTTCTATTACTTACAAGCATTTTTATAACTTATTCAAAGAGAGAAGAATAATTAACGAGATTTATCTATCTGAAACAAAAAAACAAAATAAGAAAGTAAATTAAATGCATTGGTTAAAAAAAAAGCTATGTAAGAATAATAATTTTATTGCTGATGTATATTGTTGATAAAATGATTTATACTATACGTAGATCCAATGAGATTATTGAATTTAGTTATTGTTCTTTAGTTGTACAATAATCTGATTCTTTAAACATAGAATTCTGTCGAAATTAAGCATGTTGATTTTTAAAATTAGATCAACAGGAAAAATTATAAAATCATAAGAATACATTTTGTATTGTTCAATCATATTTACTTGAATATTTGAGTTCTTTTGCTTTTTATTCTTGTAAAATTGAATCATGCTAATAATCTCTAATAAAATTTAATACTTTTATCATTTAATATCAACATAAATTTCCATACATATTATTTCCACAAGATTCTTCAAGTATTTATTACTGTTAAACATCAAAATGACTTCGAATTTTTCGAAATTAATGATTGATCTATTACAGAGAACAAATATACATTTATATGATTTGTTTTTTGTTAAATACTATTCTTACTTATTTTCATTATTTGATTTCATATTAGATTTTTGCCAATGTATGAATTATAATGAATCAATAGACCTATACACATATGAAGAAAAATAAAACACAGAAACTGATAATACATTGATTTCGTTTTTCTTTTTATGCGTATAAATGTCAGTTTAAATTACAATAGAAAAATGGCTGTTGAGAGTAAAAAAGAAAAATTTCCAATGCAGAGTTGTCGTTGATCACGTTCTTCATCCGACATATGATTCATATGACAATAATATTTATATGAATCATAGATTTTTCTTTGGCCGTCAACAACATGAAAGGTATATTTTTATATTTATGATTTCACATTGTATTAAGTAAATGACAACAACGATTAACTACCAAGACATATCTACGTAGTATGAACATCAAATTTCTTTTATACATAAACATCATTGTGTTTATGAATGAGTATAATCATTTCAAACAAAAAACTTTAATGTTCATCAATATCATTGATGTTAACTTTTGTAGAACGAAATTTTTATTTTAGCCATGTATTCGATTTAATATAACGAAGAACTATATTGAATAGAAGAGAAGAGAATGTATGATTGATGATAGTGAACGATTTATCTAGAATTCATTAAATCTACAGTTATTTACTTCGGATAAATTCTGAAAAATTATTCTATTCATATTCAATTCTATTTGTTATCCAACTCTTTATACGTTTTGTACGTAAAAATTCTTGAAAATTTGTCATATATCAATTAAAAACACAATCGATTAAAAAAGAAAAAGAATCTTCTCTTATTTTTCAATGACCATTTCTCTGAAATAACATTTAAAAATGATTGAATGAATTATTTTTCTTTCAACTTGATATGCATTTAGATTGATCGTTTGTAATTTCTATTCGTTTTGATTTCAATTAGATTATATTTTTTCACTAGTAAAATAAAGCAATATCAACGAATGAAAGACTTGTTTTGTTTTTTTTTTAAATAAAATGACAAGATATTGATTTCCAATGATCTTTTTTCTTTTATTGAAGTAATAGAGAAACCAACAAAGCAAATACAAAAAAACAATGTGTTTACATAATTTTTGTAATAATATATTGTGTCGTTGCTGTTGTTTGCCTTGTTTATTATTGTTTATTCTTTTTCTTCGGCACGTAGACGTGCATTTGGATTAGTTACCTTAATAGCTAATTGTTGTGCACGTTCAATAATTTTCTTACGATTTGGTGCTGATACTGTATGAGATATTTCAGCAGCAAATTTACGATTTTGCATTAATAACATTTCTAATTCCTAATTAAACATAAAATCGATTGAAAATGATTGATTTTATATTTTCGAAATAATCTACCTTAACATTGTTAACAAGAAATGCACGAAAACCATCTGGACGCATATGACGTGTACGTTTATCCGAACCATACCCGATTGATGGCATTAAATAAACACCCTTAAAACGTCGACGAACACGATTGTCAATACCACGTGGTTTACGCCAGTTTGGCTAAAATACATTTTAAATAAATAAATAAATAAATAAATGAAAAATAACATACACGTAGGCGAACATAACGATCACTTTGATGGCGAACAAATTTTTTTGTACGTTTTTTAAGAATTTTTCCTTTAACCAATGGACGTAATTTAGTCGATGTCGAAGCCATCAATTTAATGAAATATGATCTAAAATCATTCAATGTTCGATAAATTCTGATTTTATTTTTTTTTTCAACTTCGGATTGAAAAATAAGAATGTAGAGATTTATGTTTCGGCTATTTATATATGTTTTTATTAGGGCCGAATATTATTTGTTGTTAATCATTAACACAGGTCTTTTTTTTTTCTTCAAAGTTTTTTCTTACAAAAACAAACAAAAATGATGATAACAAATTTGTTGTTTATTTTATTTTGTTTATTGCTGATCAGCATTACCGGGACCACCACGGTTACTATCTCTAAATCCACGTCCTCGGCCATAACCACCACGCTAAAGAACAAAAACAAACAATATGCTATTCTTTTTTCTTCAAAAGATTTGAACTTACAAATTCAGGTCGGGAAGATCCAGCACCAACTTCACCTTGTTTGTCATATCCAGTACGACGATAGTCTTGTCGACTTTGATCAGTTGGTGATGATGGTCGAGCTGTGTCAACTAGAATATTTTCAAATGATTAAATCTAACTATAAATTGAATTGATAGAAAAATTCCTACCTCGTTTAGCTGTTTTAGCTCCTTCTGGTCTTGTCGGTCGTTTGAGTGTAGCCGGTACAATTTCAGGTGGTAAATTAAGATATTCACGTAAGAAATTCGTACCTTCATTATTTAAATACCAATAATAATGGCGCCATGCGAATTGTTCTTTAACTAAATTACGTGATTTAAGAGACTAAAAACAATCAAGCAGAAATTTTTCTTTTTGTCTGCAATGAATAAAAAAATCGATCGAACAAACTTGAAGTGCTTTGATAACATGAATATTTGGCACTGGAATGGCTGGATGTTTATCGAGACCAAAATCTTTTTCAGCAACAACAACACCCTCTTTCATTAGATACTCGTAGATGAGTGTACGATGTTTTTTGGGCATCAACATTTTTAGGCCCTTTTTTGAATTTTTTTTTTTATAAATAAAGTCTAACGAGATCTGAAATAAATTTACGAAGAAAAACAAATTAAATAGAAGGAAATAAGAAAATTCATTTATCGAATACTAGCAAATGTATTTATTGATGTATGAATGGATTTTGTTGGATTGAATAAAGTAATAAATGGATTGTCAGATGAACATCTTAAAAAAGGTTTTCATGAAAATTTTCAAAATTTAAAATTTTTTAACTTCAAAAAATGAATTTATTATATTTATTAGAGAATAATCATTAAATATATTTATCTTCAAAAACAATGTCTTCTGTACATCATTCATATTCTACTGACATCTATGAAATCGATCAATCTTTAATGAATAATGATATTTAATCTTGATTACCCAGGTAGAAAAATCTTACGAAGATCATATAAAATTTTACTGACAATCTGATGTTGTAAGATTCACACTGTATAATCTTACAAAGTTTGATGTTCAGAAACTCGTAAGATCTTATACAATTGTATAAGGTCACAATTTTAGATCTCATTTATATAAATATTTTTTCCAGGTGGATCATTTTGGCCGTTCGAAACGGCTGTAAAACGACGAATTACTGCATTCATTTTGCCCTTATTTCGCCGTAATCCGTCATACCGTATTACGAGCTGTTTCTATCGCTAGAAAACGGTCGTCGTTTTTTCTCGGCTTTGCTTCCGTAATCTCGTATGGCGAATTATGGCGCCGTTTATCGACATTTTACATCGGTAATCACCGTTTTATAGCCGTTTCAGGCCGTTTACAATGCCGTTTTATTGGACCTGGGTTGATAACGATAACTTTGTACATTTAAATAAATATTTAATCAATCAACTACGTTCTAATTTAGACGCTACGTTGTTAGCATTGAAAATATTTCATCTATGCAGTGGGTCTGATCTGCTAAAAAATCATTCTATAGATAATTTAATCAATTTGATTAAAGAGAAGTAGGTTTCTTTTGTTTAAATTGTTAATTTTAAATCATTTTAATGTTCAAATTCAATAAAAATATTTTTTTAAAAGCTTTCAAGTTCATATTTGTGTTTTCATTTTATTTTTTCAAATTTTTGTAAATAAATATACATATACGAGTAAACATAAAAGACTTTCTTAAGAAAACAACATAGTAGAAGGTGAAGAAAAAAAGTAAATCAGGTATGCAATGTTATGAGAAACCCTGAAAAATCATACAAGAATCGTAGAGTACGATTTTATCAGAAATGGTAGCTTTAAGACTGACATATAAAATCGTATAAGATTGTATACAGCTGTCATACGATCTTCTCTGATCATGAAAGATCATACAATAAGTTCCTCTATAATGTTGTATAAGAATCGTACAAGATCGTATAATTGAATTGTTTGATCTGGGTAGATTGATTTAAACAGCATTGTTATCTTATAATTTGATAATCGTTATTATTGTACTTTAGTAATGATTTTATAAGAGAGAAATTAAGATTAATAATCTTTATCGATGCATTCTTATATGCAATTTCTCATGGAATTTTTCGATTGTTAAGTTAAGAAAAGTGTTAGTGTCATTGCAGTCAAAAATCTGAACTCAATGGACATGGTTTTTTTTGCGTCTCATCAGAAGTCTTATACCATTCTAATCTCTCAATTCAGTGATCTCCGGGAGCCTTCGAGTTAACTATACTCCGAAGTCATTCACCTGATGTATGCATTGTACTCGTTATTTTTTATGACAGCTTAATCACATTAATTGATACATAAATGATTCCTTTAATAATAAAACATATCATTTTGTATGATTCGTGTTTGATGATTAATTTTTACATAACTTGCGCCTTGATCGGATAAAAAGAATATTTATGATACTTTATTTTTTATCTAATACAGGTATATCACATAAAGAAAAACCAGAATACAAACAAACTCTTTATACTAGCAGCGTCTTCTATGGTTACTAATAGAGAGTCGAGCAATGCTACGATGGTTAGTATCTTTCAAAATAAATTTGTTCAACTACAGTACTATATTCAAAAAGATAGAGTAAACAATGAAAATAATACAAAATATATGTAACACATGTCATACATATATTGTAAATCTGACGAACAGATCCGTAGTCTTTCAATGGGTTTTTTTAAATTAGTGGTTATAGACGATAGAAGACCAACATTTAATAGATAAAACTCATTCAATAACTAATTCCTTTCCTTTTATAATGAATGTCCCATTGACATAGCAAACTTTTTATATAATTGCACTAATTGATACTTTTCTATATCTCTTTCGAAAAATTATTAATTAACTACATAATCCTAGGATTTATTTAGTACAGTCTTCATATTATTCGTTGAAATTATATTGTCTACTAATCGAACAATGTGACTATAATATATGATTATTTTTATTAACCTTTTTTCAAATGCATGCATAGCTTCGTCAAAAACAAATGATATATATGATTGATAATATGTATGTCATATGCATAAAAAAAAAACGTCAAAATTTGATACAAGTTAACCTCATAACAGTGTATCTATTACTGGATCAAACATACCGTTGCTTATCATATGATATATTTTTGTCCAGGTACGTAAATAAATAAATGATAATTCGAGCAGTATATTTTTATTTTGAAATATCATGTTGAAGCAACCAATTACAATGATTTAAAATACAATGATATAAATGATTTCATGTGCAGCAGTAATAGAAAAATAAAATAAAATACAAAAAAATACAATCTTAATTACAATAAACAAAATACATCAAATGTACAAGAAGCAAAATAATATTTTGAAGATAAAAAAAGAAAAAGAAAAAGAAAAGAAAATAATTACAGCAGCTGAAAATAAATGAATTTAATAAGTAAGTTTATTTTTGAAACTAATTTTAATTAAATTTTCATTCAGTAATACTGTGACGTAGAATTGTCGTTTTTTGACGAAGTGTATCACCATCTTCAATTTGAGGAGTATCCTCATTATCATTATCATTGCCATTATCATCCTCATCACTGTTATCATCATCATCGTCATCGTCATCATCATTTTCATCTTCATCATCTGTATCGAGTGAATCTTGAATCATTTGTAACACACGTCGATTGAATTCAGTTCGACAATCTCGATAAAGTAATGCAGCTTCTAAATTGGCCGGACTAAGTGGATTTGGATCACTAAGAAGTAAACGAATTGAATGAAGTATAGACAAAACATCATAAGATGGTGTCCAACCATCTTTTAATATATCAACACAAATAAGTCCGTCTTCCCACCAAACATTTGGATGAAAAACTTTTGTTATGAAACGAACTTGTGGTGGTCGAAGTGGATAATCATCTGGAAAAATGAATTGAAGTTGAAATGCACCAGATTCATAGATACTTTGTTCAGGTCCACAAATAATAGCATTCCATACAAAAAAATTGTCTGATGATGGACTAGCATCGATACCTTCAACTTTATTGTTTAGTAAGTGTCGAAAATCTTGTTGTAGCCTTCGTACGGCCATTGATGATGATTTAAACGGTGAAAAAAAATTGAGAAGTGAAACAGAAAATAGTTTATCTAGAAATAAATAAGAAACAAATTTTATCATTGTTATCATTTAAAAAATAAAACTATAGAAAAAAGAAGTGATTTCTATTTCATAAGTAGAATGATCTACATATTTTATATACAAATGCTTGCAATATACCTGAAGATTGAATTAAATTTGATAGTTTTCATAATCTAGTCCTAATAAAGTAGAAATATATTGATAATAAATAAGGTAAAAAACATCATTAGAAGGCTTACATGTCGATCATGATTATCATGAAGGTTAATCTTGTTGTACTTGTAAATTACAGCAAATTATTTACTGTAAATTTGTCTTTAAAAATAGACATTTGTTAACTGTATTCAGTATACTATACATGAAGTCATTTGATATAATACTATTTTCCATTGTACAATTCTTATTGAGAATATTAAGAATACAGTAAAATCTTCCACAGTGGATATTTTTGAAAGTTCCAGCTATCATTTTTTTGATAGAAATGAACCTCCTTATAGTGGACATATGAGAAAAGTTCAAAGTGTGTCCACTTTAAAGAGAGTCTTCTTTATTGATAATTCATTTTTAAGATAAATTGTTTTCAATAATTTTCACCATGACTATCTATGAATTGAAAACATACTAATGTCATGTTATGAAGTGATTCAGTATCTGATGAATGATTTTGCTTAATTTCTTTTCTTTGAAGATAAAACAAAAAAAATACGAAGTATACTGTTTTAGGCTTATATTCATAGCATATGTGAACCATATCCGAACTCAATGCAGCACGAGTTTTTTAACGAGTTCCGTTTTCCATTTTTCTTTTTGTCCGTGTTTCCTTCTTTTTTACATCTCTGTCTATAGATATATATCTATCGACAATAAGAAAATGCATTAAAACCTAGTAGACAAACTGCTGTCAACTAATACATGTTAACAAACTAAGAAGGTCAGAAAGTTTAGAAAGATAAGTTTATTCTCGATAGATTGGTTTAATTCATCATTTATCTTATTAAATTTGTTGTTTCTTTTAGAATTTAAAAAAAATCATAAGCTCATCATATCGTATATTGATTATTAATACTATTCTAATTCTTCTTATTGTTTAAATTAATGATGATTATTGGGTATGTGATTGGGTAAATGGCCATGGATGGATGCATTGCTCACGTGATTATTGTAATACATTTGAAAAAAAAAAGAAGTCTTTCTATGAATGATGAACAAAGAGGTCCTGTACAAAACAATGATGGTACCTATTGCTTAAACAGAAAACTTTACGATACAAGATTTTCTCAACAACAAAACGATATTCATACAACAAAAGAGTAAATGAAGATATTTATCAATAGAAAAATAGATTTACTATTGGAATGTTTTTTTTTTCATTTTAATCTTTGTTGTACGAAAAAGTCCAACAGACAAAATAAAAACAAAATCATCATAGCTTACTTTTGATAGTCGATAAATAAACTTAAAGATGATATTCATTTTCATCATTCATGAATCATGATTTTGAAATAAATAGTATTAAAATATTTTTCTGAATTGTTTATATAAATATAACAATTGAGAATAGACAGAATGAATGCAATTTCGTTTTCCATATATATTTGATAATGATCAAAAGGATTGATAATAATTTCTGCTTGACTAAATATATGTTAACGGCATCATTAGTCTATACGAATTTGATTTTCTAAATATGCATATATGCATATGCGTACTTGTTTTATATCTCTGTCGTATATTTCTGTACACGTCATATTTAATCATGATGTACAGATACATAGTTTACATTCCAATAAGTCATGTCACAAGACCATGAAAACAAATTGCATCTGATGTTGTAACCGTGTAGGAGTTTAGATAATGTCGTCGTTTATTTTGTCATATTTTTATAATAAAAATGCAATAGAAAGCAAAAAAAAAAATAAAAAGAGAAAATGACTGATAAAGAATGATCGGTATGTAATACTGATAGCTAATAACTTCCATCTACGCAATTGTCCTTCTAATTGCATATACAATGAGACGAAGGTGCAAAGGTAAAAATAAAACAAAAGATAAAAGCAGAACAAAAAATATAGACTATTATTTTAGGATAGAACGCAATCATAAGAGAAGAACATTGTTAATGTGTTGAATAAAACTGTCAAATTGATAATTTTGATATGTGTTAAATCTTCAATAAAATCTATTAAATCTAATAAATAATTAGTTGAAATTATAGAAGAGAACATTTTAGGATAATCTTTAAGATAAAAAATTTTTCTTTTAGCAACATTTGATATATAGTTTCAACATATAGAATTTATTTATAAGATAAAATTATTTAATCTTGTGATTGAAAATAAAATAAAATAAATCAATAGGCAACAAAAGAAAATGTCATATAAAATCATTCTGTAATGACATTCAATTCATTAGTGCTTTTTACTTAGTGTCTTCATATATTGACATGCCTACACACATTTTATTTATAATGATTATTCAGTTACTTTTCTCTTAAGAAACAAGTCATATGAGTATTTTTAAGGCGCAAAAGTTATTGATCATTAAGGATAAAAATACCTTTTTTTATTTTACCGATAAATGAAAATTCAAGTCACGGTTGATCTATTTTATTTTTAAATAACATGCAATTACGCAGGTAAAGATATATTTTTGACTCTTTATACGTCGTATTAATTAGTAAAAGAAAACATTATATTATGTCGTTGTTTAATTTATACAAACACGCTCATTGCTATGATCCATAATTAATTATTCAATCATTTATTATTATGGAATCGTTTTTTTTTGGTTTTATTAGGTAATAGTAAATACAGTAGAACGTCAAATTTTGTCTGTTCTATCATCTTAAATCATTCTTTCGTAACTTATGACAAAATAATTTATAAAAAAAAAAAAAAGATGTAAGATACACATAATGTTTCTTTTTTTTTCATAAACAAATCTAATTTATAAAATAGAACAAAATCCAAAAATTAAACATCACTACTGCCCAATTGTGGTGTTGTTTTTCTTACTCCTTCTTCTTGTTGTTTTCTTTCATAATTTTTAACTAAAAGATGTACAACGTCTGTTGCAAGAAAAACTGGTCCATTATGATAAAGTATCTTAAGAATTAATACACCATCTTGCATAAGAAAATCTTGTGTAAATTTTTTTAATAAAGTTTCATTAATAAATGGTGACGATACACTTGTTCGATATAAATTTCCTATAAAATTAATTCGACTACTTGCCATTATTGTATCATATAATGTAAAAAGAAATGAAAATAAATTTGATATAAACACATAAATAAACCAAAACCAAGCAAGTGAAAAAAGTTTTTCATTAAGCATATTTATAGGTAAAACACATTGAACTGTATAACGATGAAGATTACCAACTTCGCGTATACGTAAATCACATAACGTTACACGAGGAAAAAAAGGTGAATCAGTTAAAACAGAATTTCTAACGAATACATTATACCATACATCAATACCATAAAACCAACCTGGTTGACCCAAAACTATATGAATAGCTACTAATTGAATAAAAGAATTAATTAAATAGAGAAATTTAACCATTATATAAATTGAGCGAAGATAATTTCCGAAACGTTTACCACTTGTACAAAATATTGTACGAAAAAATCGACGACTAAATAGAACATCTTGTTTATTTGGTTGACAATAACATTCAATCAATTGAGCAATTATATTTTTGTCATCTTTTGAAACAAGATATTGTAGATCAATACCTGATCGAGTATTCATTGAACGCCAAAGCATACGTGGAAGATAGAAAAATAATGCAAATGAAAGAAAAATGAATGGTGCCCATTGATAATAACCAATTTCAGCATGTTCTCGATCATATTTACTATGTGGAACCGTTGCATTACTTGGTATATAATATGTGTTTGAAATCCAACAATAATTTTTTGTATATGTTGAATAAGCACCAACAAATTGAGCTGGTACCCAACATGTTATTCGTTCAAAAGCAATTGGTGCACCCGTTACAATAGATGCACAAATAAGTAAAAATCCTACACTATAACGATGATTAAGTCGATCAGAATGTTCATCATCGTTTGGTGCTTTTAATGATTTAATCCATGGAAATCCTTGTGCAGTTGTGAATAGTTTAATTGACATAGTTGTTTAAAATTAATAACCTAGAAAAGATATATAATATGATGATTGAGTTTCAAACAAATGATAATCACCAAAAACAATAAATAATACTCAAAGAGAAACCTTCAATGGATTTTTATTGTGGTTTTCATCTGTCAACTAGCTTTTTGATATACGCATCTATATTCTTACAAAAAAAAATTGAGAAGTAGCTGTCGAGTGTAGGTTTTTTTTTCTTCTTTAGTTATATTTGGTATGTGATACATCTCTATTTTCTTTTCTCCTTTTTATTCTTCTAAAATACACTTATTCAAATATCTATGTTGACCTTGTCTCTTACTTTCTGTTTTTAATTTTTATCTTTTTCTCTCTGTCTCAGTATATCATTATAGACAATTGTATTTGAATAAAAAAATCCACAGCAATACGACATAAGAACGACAAGAAAAAAAAATAACGATAGATTCGTATTAATCGATTAAATCTAATATATATAAAGATAAGTGTTTAAATCCGCACAAGCAACATAAAAGAAGAAAAAGCCAAGGATTTCAGAGCACTTGATTGGCATTTTTCTAAAAGACAAGTTTCAAATTTCACTTATGAATATAAAGAAAAGAAAGGAAATCATATGATTCACATGTAGGCAATGTCTAGTCTATAAAAAGTAATTAAAAAAAAAAGTTTTATCGAACTTATTGCTACTATTGTTTTCAGTCATTGAACTGATTTGATGATGATGAGTTTGTCTTAAAACAGATTCTTACGTAATGACTAATAATTAATTTATTTCATGTGTATTAATCATATTTGAGACAATAATTGAACGTAATTAATAAAATACTTTTGCAACTTTTTTCGCTGCTGTTACATATTGATGAAAGAGTTATACAAACCTAAAATAATAATCAACTGAGTAAGATGTACTGATAAGATATCTAAATGTACATACTTCATTGCGGTTTTGGCCATGAAGAATCACATTAAATGTCAATACGTGTTGCAATTCAATATAAGTACTGTTAAACAAAAAAACAATCGATCAAGATCTTAAGTTATATCATAAATAATAGACTTTTTTTATTTAATCTATAATCAAATATTTTATTTTGTGAACATTTTCATAAAGATTTACAAATAAATTTTCATTTCTTCTTCTCTTACATTAATATAATAAATCAATGATTGAGAATAAATAAGTCGAGATACAAGCGATACATTTCGTTCAATATTGGCAAAATAAACTAGTGAAGTTTTGGAAATTACACTTATTTGATAATTAAAAAACTAATATGCGAAAATGATTTTATTTCATGACGATATTCATCAGAGAAAAAAAAAGAGACAACTAGGAATAATTTGTTTATCTATTGGATGAAATTTTTTTCAAAGCACGACAAGCGATATTTATGTAATAAAAGGCATCATAGGTCGCGAAAATGGTGGTGTCATTTTTCCGTCCCCAAATGATTGAAAATTATTTTTTATTACCTCTACGAAACATTATCTTGAGATCATTGTGAGGCCGCTAAAAAGCACATTCATGTTTTTATTTTTCTTGACAAAATCATATATACTTTTCTTTTCATCATCTGATGTCTATTTATTGTAACTTAAACTTCCAATGTATTTATAAAATTTAAAATTGTATTCTTATCTTTTATCAATATGGTATTACTTCACTAAACTAAGAAGATAAATTTTCTTATGAAGTTACGTTTGTTATAGTTACTTGAAAAGGTCATATTTTTGTTATCTTCCTATGACAGATTGAAAATTTGTCTATTTCTTTTGTTGAAGTCAATCTAATCACTAGTACAATTACTGCATATCCATCGTATATAAAATGGAATTCATGAAGTAATATTAACAAAAGATAAATTAAATGAAAGTTCTTATTTTGTCTAGATATATAATGGTGTGTTATTCATTCCAATCATAAATGCATGTATATGAGCATTAGATCCAACTGCAGCTGCTTTAAGTTTTTTATTGTTCCCTATGAACCTAAATTGGTTGTAGTTGGTTTAAAAATAAATGAAACACGTCAAATTATTCTATTTGATACATTATAGCACAGCAAAGATCTTATTTTCATGACGTTCGATTTCACGGTTAGTACCCATAAACGACTGATTGAGATTTTATTGGACCATTGATTACAGTTGGCCTTAATAATGATCAAACACGAGCTATTTCACATGGATATAAATTAATTTAAATCGCTGCTACTGTGTCAATAGCAATTACTTTTGTTAATACATGATTGTCTTTCAATCTCATGTGCCATTGTAGAATAATAACATCCCATGACATTACTTCTCGATGACTTGATGTTTGTGGTATCAAATTCTCAGCTGATAATATTGCATCATCATTTAATGGATCAGCACTTCCGTTGATAATTTCTTAAAGAAAAAAAAAACATTATTTTCTATCAATATGTGAAGTTTTAACCAAAACTTTTTGAGCCATGTGCTAGATCACGTACTTATTATTGGTTAAGAATAGCCCTGTTGATAGTCTACTTATTAGTCGCTTATCAATTTAAAACAATCTTCTTGTTATTAGAAATGTGTAAAATGACAAAATATTATTATTCACAGATCGAATTATATATAATCACAATATATATTTAAACATTTGGTGACCTGATATATTGGCTGAACAATCAGATGGTTCAATATATGTTACGGCATGTTGTATTTAAGAATCGACTTTTCTCAATCACAATTCATCTAATCAATTAATGATAGAATTATGATGTCTGCAGATTAATGAACGAAATATCATTTAATATTTCTTGTTTGTTTTTGCTTCAATAAAATATTTCATAGAAAATATCAAAGAGAATACTTTAAAAATTCCAGAAAGTCTTTCTTTTACATAAAAATAACTATTCAATACTCTTTCTTCGAAACAAACTTACAGAGAAATAACTAGATGTAAATAAAGTTTATTTTGACAATTTGTATATCAAAACTTTGAACTTTTCGAAAGTGAAAAATATAAATAAAGAGGATTGATGATTTGTCTTTCAAGTTAAAATATTTAAATCATATTATCTTTATATACATTTCATAGAAATAATTTCTATTTCGACTTATTGTATCATAAGTTTTATTAACATTACATAGAGAGTATAATTCCAAAGCTTAATAGTCTCTGATGAACTTATTCATTGTTATGCTAAAATCTCATACAAACAACAACTCAAGTTCATGTGACACATCCAGTAACTATTTTTGTATTAGTAAAGTTCAACGCACTTATGACGTCATATACATCCTGTGTTACTGAACGTGTATCTGTTAAATTCAAATTGATAACAATACGATAATCTAATCCTAAAGCAACTTTTGCGGTACCGATCACTGGCATATTGTACCTAAATCAGTAATGTAAACTATTACTGGTACTAGTAATATTTCAGATATGATAACGTCCATAGTAAACCAAAATAACATTGATAAAAGTGTCATTTTGATTGATTTAAATAGATATCGATAATATTGATCTAGTAGAATATTCTTAAAACACTAATTTCTAAGTTTATGTTGTTTCTTACATGAGTCTACTCATTTTTTATAACAAAAAATAGTGGATTGTCAGTTGTAGTAGAACTTATCGTATGGTTAGTGATCGAAGTTGTCCGTAAAAAGAAAAAAAACGATAAAAATTTATAAAGAGAAATATGGTAATAATCAGAAGGTGAACAGTAATGGTGTAAAATGTAAAAAAATTATTTAATTTGAATATCAAACATCACAGATAATAGTAGCTGATAGACATTTCATCTGACGGAATGTTATGTATTCTTTCTGCTGTACATATAGATCAGACCAATATCAACATGACAAATTTCATTCATGTTACACCATGATCCTTGATAGAACTGATTTTGACTCATTGTTTCAATCTAAAACATATGTAATCGATATTAAGATGTTCCAGTAGATCCATATATGAAATAATCATTGTTGCCACGTGATGAAAATGAAGTATTGCATGTGTTGACAACGGATCAAGCATCATATGCAATATTATCAACTTTGGATTACTTTCAAAACGACGACAAAGATGTAATGATGAACCATAATTGACAATGTCAAACATTGTTGATTAGTATCACATATAGCTAAACATAAGTTTAATAATAAAATTTTAGATAATTGTAGAAATTTAATATTATCAATTGCTTGAAAACTCAATTCTAAATTGGATATGAGATGAATAAAAGATTTCATATCTTGTGTTAGTACAGTTATTGATGAGAAAATAATCAAAAACAGTATTAATAGTATAGTGGAAACAAAAAGATTTCATATACAATGATTTTCTGTCGATCGAAGCCATTGTTAAAAATCATAACCATTTAATTCACATATAAAACTAATATTATAGAGAATAATTTTGTTTTGTTCACATGACAAAATACTTTACACAAGTGAATTATTTTTTAAAATATCTACACATAATACTTCTCTTTTTAGGTTATTTTTGATTATATTAATAAAAAAGAGAATGAAATGGCGAAAATTCTTTGAATAATAGATAAAAATAAAAGTATATTATCTGCTTACGAGAGAGCTACCCCGACTGACACCCGTTGTTTAAGCGCACATTGGATCCACATGCATATCTTAGTGAGACTAATAAACGCCTAACAGGGGTTTTGTCTCGATAGGTAGTTTGCTTCGAGTGATGATCGAAGTTACGATCCAAAATTTTGCTCATAGATATGTATATTGAATCTTAGAATATTCTGAACGTTTCATTCAAGAAAAATGTCCCTTTGTCGAGATATTGAATTGTTAAATGAACTTCATTTTTGTAACAAAGGAATATTTTTGGAAATTCAATCTATTGACGAAGAAACATTCTTTTCGGCTGAAATTGATTTTTCTGGAACTATCTACAAATGAGTCGAAAATCCAGTAAACCGGTCATAACTCGGTGCCAACAGCCCATAGGGACGAACCCTGTTAGGCTTTTGGCTAGTCTCATCGAGATCTCTTTCTGCCCGAATATGAGTTCAAATGGCAGATGTGATTTAAGGTAGTTCCTTCGTTAGTAACGTCTACATTTCTTCATTAACCGAAATCTGACAGAAAAGTCCAAAATATTCATAGACACTTCGGACGATCTGAGTGATATACTTACCAAGTGTGCAGTGTGCCATTTTAATGCATTAATAACTTATTCATTAATTTAAGTACTTTTGAGTATAACGGTCTTCGTCATGTACAAAATTTACTTTTTATTAAATAAGATTGCTACTGAAATTTTATAAGAAACAGATGATATAATATAAATTTATACTTTGTCGTCATAAACATGCTTTCTTCTACAAACAATAATAGTTAACAATGGTTGTTTTATTGATGCACTGGAATCAAAGTCCTGATTTGAGGAGAAAATATGAATAAATTTAGTCCAATCAATTACGATAGTTCAACTTATGACATAAAGATTGCTTCTCTCAAATTAGACGACATTGAGTTCAATTTATTAAGAATTTCACTGTTGCTTTTCGTTGAAGGTAATTTTCATGTTTCATCTAAATCTTTATTTAATTACGAAGAATGAAATAATAGAGTGAACTTTTTTTCAATCTTCTCCTCTTTTTCCATTATCAGCAACCTCTATTTATGCATGATTAGAAAGTGTAGACATCAATAGCTTTCTGTATAATAGAAAATAATCGTAGATCAAACACAATGAGCACAGGATTCGATTAAGCGAGTTATTGTTTATGCTTGGTGTTTAGTGATATCGGTAGAGCTGAAAAGAACGTAAGTAAAGTTAGCACCAGATTCGAGTTTTTACTGTCCGGATTCACCCCTGGACTTGAGTTGATTTTGCTTCAACTTGAGTTGTATGCAAAATTTTACGACAAATCTGATGATGTAAAGATCAAGGGCGGGTTATCGAGCAAAAATCAATACTTGACCCCAAAATACTGTTTTGTTTCAAAAATTTTCCGAAAGTTTTTCCTGTCTGGATTCGCTATGTTGCTCGAGTTGGGTCTAAAATTGGTTGAGTTAGACTCAGCTCGAAATTCTGCATCGAATGATATCAATTTTATATGGCGTCATCGGCGAAAAAATTTTCACTTCACTCAATCCCACCCCTCAGAGGTCATCCTCCCTCTTGTCCAGTCGAATAATTTTTTGCCCGATAATCCCATATAAAATTGATATCATTTGATGCAGAATTTCGAGCAGAGTCTAACTCAACCAATTTTAGACACAACTCAAGCAACATGGCGAATCTGGACAGGAAAAACTTTCAGAAAATTTTTGAAAAAACCAGTATTTTGGGGTCAAGTATTGATTTTTACTCGATGACCCCTCCTCCTGGATCTTTACACCATAAGATTCGCCGTAAAATTCTGCATATAACTCAAGTTGAACCAAAATCAACTCAAGTCCAGGGGCGAATCCGGACAGTAAAAACTCGAATCTGGTGCTAACTTTACTTACGCGTATGATGGCCAGTTTTACTATCACTTATGGATGAATAAATTGCAAAATTATGTGTCTTTGTTTTATTTTTGTTTTTCTTTCGATCGGACTACAGCTCATCATAGACTATGCAAATCAAAATCATTAACAATTCGGTACAATAACTTGGTACATTTCAATAGGATAAAGCAAGACTATTGAACAAAAGAAAGTTGAAAACAGTAAAATAAGATGGATTCTCTTGTTCAAAAAAGATATTTTAAAATTAGATATAGATTCTCTAAAACTCTATTGAGATTTTTTGTTTTATTCATAAAACGATTGCAATATTAAGTGGAGGCAAAAAAACAAGCAATAAATATTTCTTTTTGACATTATGTTAAGATTATTTTTAAAAAAAGAGAATGCAAAACATAAATAAAATACAACCTATAGCGACTAGCATGTATAAATAAATAGTAGAGCAAAAACATTCAGATAATTGCGATAAAAGAAAAAAGAATTGCACCGTAATTTTGTTTTAAACACCAGATGATTCATTGGGTACAGTAACAAGTTCTTTACCACCTTTTAGATGTGTTTTAAATTGTTCTGGTACTGGTAGTTCTTTATATTCACCATCACCAAATGGGATATTAATTGTCATTTCAGATGATTTCGATGTTATAAATTGTGTATCAAGTGAAGTTTTAGATAAGAATACATGACAACCGTCTGTTTTTTCAATTTGAATTGTTGGTACCTGATCTAATACTTGTACTTTCATTCCACGACAATTAATAAATTCAACCAATGATACAGCCGATGTAAATTGAAGACCAACTTTGTTACATTGATCAAGCACAATTGAATTAACTTTACCTTGAATTGTTAATGTTGAATTTGAACATTTATAAACATAAACTGTTTGTTTCATATTTGTATCAGTAATTTTAAGATCATGTCGACCTGAATGAAATTCAACAACCCATTTATTACCTTCAAGTGCTAGTTTAGGTGGACCAGAAGTTAATGTTGATGAAGTCTGTGAAACAGTTTCCTAAAACGAATGTAAATTGAATGATAAACATAATGAATATTATATAACTGACAAATGCAATTTCTTTTATTATTAATATTTTCTCAAAAACCTAAACAATAGATTTAAAAAATTATCAAATCTTTCAAGCCAACCGAACACACAAGGTTTCATCTCGAAAAGTAGAATTTTTATTGCAAAGCTAAGGATAAAACATAGAACACCTACTTGAGATTTAGTCGCTATATTTGATCGTGCCGCTGATTGATTTGATGTTTGGTCTCTTAATTGAGCATTTTTATGAAGTTTAAGTTGATCAGGTACTTTTTTTAAATGAGATGTAGCATCTGTTCCTAAAGCATTAATTGAATTCATGAGTTCAGCTCGTGACTCCCCATCTTGAGCTTGAGCTGCTGAAGATAATGATGACGATGGTGGAGGAGGTGGTGGTGGCGGGGGTGGTGGAGCTGCACTACCACTTTTACCAGTGGGGACAGCAGCAGCACCTGAACCTTGTTGACCATGGACACTCCATGTTAAACCTGTTGTATGATATTGTTTAACATAAGCATGTAATTCGCTTAAAACTGTTATCCATTGTTTAACCCATTCAACATGTGTAGGATCCTTTTCTTTAAATTCTTTTAAAACTCGATTAGCATAAAATTGTGCAGCATCAGACATTTCTTTGATATATGGAGCAGGTGTTGGTGAAACAAGAATCCAACCCAATGCTGGAATACCTTCTGATATAGCTGATAAATGATTAAATAATGGTGATTTACGATTCTGATTTGTATAAGCTAAAAGTACATAAAAATTTTATTTTTCATAAGAATATGATTTTAAAAAGATTTGTCTTTACCACAAATTGCTTCGATTTCTGTTGATTGTGGTTTAACCAATCCTTGTATTTCTTGATCATTTGTCGGTTTTTTACTTTGTATTGCTTTTTCAATAAATTTTTGTTGAGCATTAAATAGACGCGTAACATGATCAATCATTGTTGGTAATTCACCACCTATTTTACGTGAAAGTGTCACGAATGATGTCAATGTACCATTAATAATAGCCTTAAAATCTCGTAAAACAGGCAAATTATCATTCATATGTGAAGCCATAACTAAATAAATGAATCAAAAAACAATTTTTAATCAAATAAAATACTAAAGTTTAATGAACTTTTCGCTATTGATATTATATTACTCTTGGTAAAGAAAAAAAACAACTATTGCATACAGAAGACAGTGTTATCTTCGTCGAGCTAATCGCTAGAAATAGAAATACATGCATTGTGTCATAGAACGCGCAATTACTAACAACACCCACACAAGAAGGAGAACTAAACTCTAGCAAGGATAGGAAAAAAAGCCATAAGCACGAAAAGAAATACATTTATCCATTGAGGAGTAGCACCCACTCAAAACTACAGGCATTTGTCTTATATCCTTCTTTGTCGCCTTAATAACCTGACAAAAATAAGAAAGAAAAGAGAGTGACAACGAAAGAGACAGCATAGATAAGTGCGGTATAGGCACAAGCACAGTTGGTTGTTGTATATGAAGCTAAAATCAATAATACTGCAGATATATATATATATAGACAATGATCGATGGTATACTATTCTGTTTTTCTTACCGGTCATTCTATTGACCGCATTTTCTCTCTGTTCTGCATATCAGATATACCAAAAAAGGAACAAATGAATCATTAAGAAATGAGAAAAACGGAACAAATATTAATTGGTTATTCATGTGACTATTCAAAATTCGAGGTCGCTTCTTAGTCCGGTTTTATGATAGAATTATTTTTTTTTTTTGTAGATATAAAATCAAATTTTTTATTCAAGATATGTATTAAGATGGTTCAATTGAATCGACTAATAATGACACCTAAAACGTAAAGACTATAATTTTTCTTTTAAACTTTTTTCTAAAATCTATTTTTGCATTACTATTTTTCTTTGTCTTTCGTTGAGTTAACAAGAAAAAATTTGTGAATATTCATTATAAATTCGTGAATTAAAATCAACATAGCACAAATTTAATAAATGTATGAAAAAAAGACACTTTGTTCTTTACTATTTATACAAATTATAAGTTTTTATTTTTCTGTTAAATAATCGCTATTTTGTCTTTTAAATTTTTGAATAACTAATTTTAATTTATCTTTAACTTTTAGTTTATCATTTTTTGTATCATATTTCGATGGATTTTACAAACTATAAACGAATAATTAACTATAATGCACACACTACGAGATGCATCAATATTATTATTTCTTTTTTTTCTTATTATCTTATTTTATCAATTACATTATAAAAGTGAATTATCCATACCAATAGAAATTCCAATATTATCAAAAAGTGAAACATTTAAAATTGTATCAAATGAATATTCATCTGTTTGTATTTTAATTAAATATATTCTAAAATAAATGATTTTTTTTTCTATTTAGCTTTGGTATCAAAAATATTGTTTAAAAAATAAATTATCACAAAAACTTGTTTTAGAAAATCTCCCTCAATATTTAAACAATGCACGTTTGTCAACAAATAAAATTTGTCGGTTAGTCTCTTTTTTGACAAAATTAAATTTTGTTCTATTTGAAAAAGAAAAAAAAAACAAATTTTTGTTTGTTTTCTTTTAGACAATTTGCAACAAAATTTGATGCTTTATTTCGTCTTGAAGAAATTTATGGTTTATTAAAATTATCACCTGTTTATTTAAATAAAATAAATCAATGGTTACACAATGATGAACTACTTATTGAACAAATAAAAAAACAGGTAATTTATATTTTAAGACAATTAGAAACAAAGAAAAAAAGGAATTATTTTATAAAATAAAATGCCAAATTAAAAAAAAAACATAAGTGATCTACTTTTTTTAAAGCGTATTATTAAAATATACAATCGATATACACATGAAGAAATGCTATACAATTATATGCGTAGTCAACGACCACAAACTAAAAATGAAATATCACCTGAAGAATAGTATGATTTTTCTGATTGTCTTAAATATGAATGCTTGTTTCATGCTATGCATTTCTTGTGAATTTGATTATTTCTCTAGATTCGTTATTTAAAAGAAATTAATATTTATTAATTATCTTTTTTTTTTTCGTTTTAGTACATCAAAATTACTTCAAGATAGCAAGAAAAATTGTGATTTTTGTAGCAAAAATTATCTCAAGTAAGATAAAGTTTTTCAACAAAATCTAAAACATAATAGAATTGTTCTACTGTAAATGAGAAAATTCAACCTATTTTTATTATTTTAATTTGTGAGTTACAATGTTTGTCTCATGATATTACTCTTATGTATCAAAGTATTGACATATAGAGAACGAACTTTTGCATTATATAGTAAAAACTCTCTTAAATGAACATCATTAGGAATTTTGAAAAACGGTCAATATTGAGAAGTACTTATCAATAGGAGATATCATATATTTTACTACGAAATGAAAAAAGATTTACAGAAAATAAGCTTCTTTACTAGTTTTGAAGTAACTCCAAAACCAACTTGTCGACTTCCATTTGCAGCTTTTGGGAAAAAATTTTTCTTGGCGAAGCAAATAATATTGAGCAAAATAAAACATCTTCGATCTCTCCAAGACCTTCCTTCATCGAACTGCATTCAATTTACAGAAGATCCCCAAGCACTACACCTGACAAAAACATTGAAATTTTCAATAAAAAAAAAAGACAAATGCTTCTTGGGCCATCTATAAATTGAATACAGTTCGATGAAGGAAAGTCATGGAAAGATCGAAGGTGTCTCATCTTGTTTAGAATCATTTGCTCTATCAAATTAAATCTGTTCCCAAAAGCATCAGATGGAAGCCAGAAAGTTGATGATGGAGATCTTGATTTTTCGCAGACCCTCATCCAAGCAGTTCTGTTGGAATCTTTGAACCTACCAATCCTAATAGAGAATCATTTCAGCTACACAAATGTTTTTTTTTCAGATTCTTGCTAGCTATTACCATCGAGAAGAAAACGTAAAAATACGACTAATCTAGACTTATGCTCCCTACTAAATCTTCATCAAGTTCTATTACATCAAAACTTTTGAATCTTCGTTTAATACTTTGATTTTGAGTTGTATGATGTGATTTAAATGTTCTTTTTTTTTGTTTTATAATATCGGATATAGAGCCAAGTAAAATTTTCTAATTTTCAGCCAATTCACGTTATGATAAACCATTACTATTATTCTAATTCCTAATTAATTGAATTTTTTCATTTAATGTAAGATGATGTGGTGATTTCATGTCTTTCCCCGATATGTACAGTTGAAACAAACAATGAACAGTAGTTTTAGTACATTAGCCCAAAATGGTCAAGAGTAGAGGAAGAAAAAAGTGCACGTGTGTTCATTTAATAGAGATTAAAGTAACAATCAGGATTGTAAAAATTCAACAGTTTCTGTGATTTATTTTTTCGGAACTTATTGAGATTTTTCTATGAATCCCTTTATATATGTTATCATCAAACGAGAAAAACTAGCCTGAAGGCAGGTACCTAGCTGAGAATGAGAGTGAGAACGAGACTTAGGACTGGGAATCAACTGAGGGTGAAGACTGACTCTTCAAAGCTATGGCTCTCTTTTAATACAGTTAAAATGCATTATGTGTTATTAATTGGTAAGACCAGATAAATCTAGTGGTTTAAATAAATCTAAAAAAAAAAAATAAATAAATAAATTTCGGTAGCTTCTCCGATATTCTTTTAATATGTCTGTGAGAAATCGACATCAACAATGTATCATAAAACAATTTCTATTTTGTTATTTTAGTTCAACAGCTGAAGATAGATTTGGACGTCTTGAACATCGTCTTTCATATACAGCTGCTAATACATTTAAATATGACCGTTGGCATACACTTGTTGTATCACGTAATCATGATACATTACATTTAACAGAAGCTGAAATAGTTGATATGTTTGAATTAGTACAAGAATGGCTTCATAAAGCTTATTCGATAGAACCAATGTATACATGTCCTGAAATGATATGGGATGCCATGCCTAAAAGTGGTGCTTCACAAATGCATACACATCTACAAGCTAGTTTAGGTTTTGATATTTATTATGGAAATATTGAACGAACAAGACAAGGTGCTCGTTTTTATGCACAGAGAAACAATGGAAGAAATTATTTTAATGATTATCTTTATATTCATCAAGTATTAGGTTTAACAATACCAATTGGAAACGCACATATTATTGTACATCTTGTTCGTTTTTTTTAATTTGTTTTATCTTTTATTTTGAATGAAAGAAAAAATTTCATTTCTTTTAGACACCAATTAAAGATCTTGAAATAATGATTATGGATGAAAAACTTAATAAAAATTTTTATAAAGCATTACATCTTGTTTTACGAAGTAAGATAAGAAATTAATTTAGAATAAGAATTAAAGTTTAATTGTTTTAGCTTTTGTTGATGATCTCAACGAATATAGTTTTAGTTTTGGAATGTATTTACCTCCAATGGTAAGAAGATAAACGAAGCTTTCTAATTTTGTGTTAGAATCAAAGTTAAAAGAAAAACAATTTGTTTTTATTTGTTTTATAGAACGAATCATCTGCAGATGGGCATGAAATGCCAGTTGTATGTCGTCTTGTTTTTCGAAATCCTGTTACTAATTTACGATCGGATATGAATGGACTTGATTTATATACGGTACATAGTCAACTAACTTACGATACATAAGTATCTGTACAAATGTCAGAATTGAGCAAGTACAGACTTTCTCAAGTACGGGTACAGCAAAAATCTCACTCAGAAACGAGAATTTCGAGTAAGATTACTTCGGAATACGTGTTTAACGTCGTTACAGCATGATTGTCGAATATAAATGAGTACCCTTTAACATAAGATCGAGAGTGGAAGAGATTAGCTATTTGGATCTATCTTCGAAGAGTAGAAATAGATACCTGATACTATCTTAATACAACACATTTCATTTAAACAGATGATAGTGGATAAGGTCGTTTTGCTGTCCTCATAATGTTTCATTTTTCTGGGTGAACATCAGTTCAGTGGTGACACTCGATAACGTTGCAAAGATTCATCTCGCAATGCCTCCGGATCAATTCTTCAAATCATCCCGTACTTCTCCACAAGGTCAACAAAAACGTGGCCATCCTTCTAGGAATACCGGTGTAGCGTAAAAAACTTGATCGAGAGACGTCGTGAAATTAACTGTTGTAATGATATTAGGAGTCGCCACTGAATTAATTTCAAGACAAAAGACTGAAACATTTTGGGGGCGAACAAACGGCCTTATCCGCCCTTATCTTTTAGAGTGCTTCGAGTATTTTGCCCAGCTCTGACAAATGTTGATATCTAATGTGTTCGAACAGTAAATGCTAGAAGCCTAACTTTTTCACTCGCAAATAGAGTAAAGTATGTGCTTTGAAATGTATATTCAAAATAAGATTCACGAAGTAGTGTAAATTTTAATGTTTTTAAAACCATTAAAAATAGTTTTCTATGAATGTAGAATAAAGAATTGATTCGTATCTTGGTTATGTGCTTGTTTTTATCTTTTCAAATAGGATATAAATTTTGAGTAGATATATTAGCTGTGATTGAATAAAAGTGTAAGTCAAATGGATATAATCCTTCAGAGTTATTCAAGTCTCTGATTACGTCGAAATTGACGCCAAGTGCAATTTTGTAGGGTTTTTTTTGTTTTATCAATTATGAGCTCAATACAATGTATTTTTCTAATTTTTCATACATACTGTTGTGGGACTCAAAAACTATGGGATCTACTGGTTTTGATTTTAACGCTGATTACTAGCTATCCTGGGTATGCAGAAAAATAGAAAATCGATCTTCAGAAAAACTAGATTTTATAGGGTTGTTTTTGCAAGTTTGAACTTCCTGTCTTCTTCTTTAGTCAACATAATGCAAGTTAAAACAAGAAATAGCACGAAAATATTTACTTTGATAACAAGCTATTTTTAGCGGTTTTAAAACCATATGCATTTAACTACATTCTAAATTTTATTCTGAATATGCATTTCAAAGTATATACTTTGCTCTATTTGTGAGTAGAAAAATTAGACTTCTAGCATTTTCCTTTCGAATATAGCAGACCTCAACATTTGTGCGAATACTTATGCATTGTAGATTATCTCATTATCTGTTTATTGATTTCTATTATTTTAGAGCTCGGTGATTGGTAAAGATCGTTATGTACTCTATCAACAATTGAAAGAAGGTATAGAAAAACGTCAAAAATAGTGACTATATCAAAACATAACAATCTTCATATATTTTCTTTTCTTTCTCAATATATTATCCGTCCTTATTTTGTTTTTTCTCGCAATTGTTATCATACTATATCGAACACATTTATAAGTATGCTTTTGTTATTATCTGGGATCTATTTAATATTTGTCATGATTTTACATGTGTCTACTTAACGAATTTAATGATCATGCAGTCTATTGCTTACTTGATTTTCTTTTTTACATTTTGTTTTGTTTTATTATTGTTTATTTATCTTACAATTATATTGAGAAATACACCGGAAAAAAAACAGCACTGAATCAAAAAATAATATATCAACATTTTAATTGATGTTTATTCAGTTTTCTTTTTTTATTTATTAAAGTTTATAGTAATTACGACGTCGACCTGGTACAACATAAGAAATAACTTCTCCAGGACTTGATGAATAAGTATCATCAGGTGCATGTTTGAGTGCTACAGCTAATACAATAGCAGCAATGAAACCCATTATTTCCAACAACAAAACAGCACCCAAACTACCTCCAATGATCGGTAAATTTTTTTGAAGAATATCAATAATAATAGTAGAGCAGCCTTGTTGATATTGATAACACCAACTAGGTGCATCTCTTCCGCTTTCTGTGTAATCCTTTTTGCCATTTGCACCACAACATTTCAATGAATTTTCCATGTCATGAAAAGCATTTAATACTTTTGTATCGTTTTTGACTAGAGCATTAGTAAAGACTGTTGTTAAACTTTTTTTATATACATCTTCAAGTTTGCCCTTATATGCGAATGCTAAAATAAAACCAACTAATTCGATAGTCATCAGAATACCAAGAATGATGGCATAAAAATATAATAAACATCGATTGTGCCATAAAGATCCTATATTAATATATAGAATAAATATAAATTACAATTAATATGTTTATTGAGACACCTACCTAAACAACCGGATACTGCAATTACAAGTGTAAAAATACCACCACCAATTAAAACGAATGCTAGAAATCCTAGTGATTGTCCTTCAAAATTGCTTACTTCAGCAAATTTACTTAAGACTGTTGCAAATTTATTGTCGATTTTGACATAAATACCAAGTCCAATTAAAGCAAGACCAACAAGTACAAAAAACATGTTCAACAAAAGTAATATGCCTCGCATAAATCCCACACCACATGATAGTACTTTTACCATAGTAAAAAGCTTATAATTATCAAAAGGTATTTAAAAACGAATGAATAAAGAAGAGAAAAGACCGTGTACATTTATTTTATATACGTAATATTACACAACATTTCTCTGAAATGATAAGAAAGATCGAGCATCTGAGAGTTTTTATTGACATGGCGTCATTTGTGCTGCTCGTAAGTCTTTTGATAATAACTAGAAAAAAAAAGCATAGATAAAAATGATTCATAAACTATAAGTAACAAAATACATAGCAAATGATGATCAATCTCAATGTGTCATTCTAATATTTAGAATTTATGTGTTAAAGGTCGAATAAATGTGAATATTAATAAAAGATAACAGATATATCCATTTTATTGCTTCAATATAGCTATATCAAGTGAATCAAGTTCATCAAATTTCCGGAAAAATGTTAACAAAAACAAAAAGAAGTCTTCCACTCTTATCACGATATAAACATGTCGAAGAGGATTGTAAAAAGTGAAGCGTCCGGAACAAAAAAACTTCATCACAAATACTAGAATTAAATTATATGTATCATTTGACATAGTGGTACCCTATACATGACTAGATCATTCAAACAAAAGTATTCGATAGTCTCAAGAAATCAACAGATATTAATAATAAGCATTCTTCTGAAAACCACAATCTTAACAATATATCATTGCATAGTAGAAGCAAAATTTAGACGTTACCAGATAATATGGACAAGAATATGAAGTATTATAAACCGACAGTCAAATTTTATAGATAAAGTGACTCAGAAAGTCGTATACAAGCGTTTTAAAGTCGATATCGAAATCTAGTAAAACTTTCAATTGAATATCTGAAATTAATTTATTCATTGCTTTTGAAGTATACCAAAGGATTAGACAATATAAAACCCAAATTATCAATGATAGTACCTGCTTGAGAAAGTTTTGTAATATTCATGTATTAATTCATGTTCGCTGTAATGATGAGAATCCGAGAAAATATTTTTAATTTTTATATATTTTTCTATACATCTTAATAAACTTAGATAAACTTAATATTTAGATGCATATGAAAGAAATATGATATTGCAACATTTCTTAATGTTCTATGATCTACCTATATATTCATCAAACATTTAAAGAAAACCTAAGATGGTCATTCTAGAGGAACAGAAGTTGAATATGGTATCGATAAAAATGTTTGTCAATAGTAGTATATTCCAGGTGAATAGCATTTTCTATTAATATAAATTAATTTAGTATTTAAATCCTACGTATGAACAAATTTGGATGTGTACTGTATTTATCTTGATCTTTGTGATAGTTTTATCAATACAATCATCACTTGTACCTCATGATTAAAAATTTACAAAACGTATTTTATGTATAATATGAAAACTAAATGAAAAAAAAGCATAGTAAGTTTTGCTGGATGCCGTCAAAAATTAAATAAGATATAAATACTAATACTCTTAATTTTCATCATACAATTTCATATGAATTCAAACATATGGTATATCTTCATTAATAAATAGTTTGTTATAGTGTTTCTATGGATAAGATTACAACAATTGAAAATCGAATCTTGAACTCAAGAAACATTTTGTCTATATCATCGAGATAAACCAATGGTCTTTTCTAATGATTAATAAGAGTTCAATTTGTTATTATTTATTGTACTCTTCATATAGAAACTGTATATTCAATTGATGGTAAAATCATTTAAAACAGAAAACTTTCTATTATTAATCTTTAAGATAGAATCAAAACTAGAATTGCCACAAACAAAATATTATTAATTTTTATATTTTATGCATCAGAAAACTTTGTAACGAAATCAATAAAACAGCATTTATAATGTACTACAAGTTACAATACAATCATTTCAATTTATATCTTTATAAAAAAAAAATCAAGGTTACTTAGAAAGTTTTAAAAATATTGTACGATCAATTTATTGATTGATATAAAGAAAAAACTTTGAAGCGAAGTGTATCAAAGAGAACTACGAAGTGGTAATACTGGTTTCTTTTGCGATCCTTCTCGTTGTTGTTGTTGTTGTTGTCGAGCTTTGAATTCACGTCGTCGACGATGTAGAATAGGTTCTGTATAACCATTCGGTTGCATAGTTCCATCAAGTACAAGTTCAAGTGCAGCTTGAAAAGCTATATTCTGATCGAAATTAACTGCCATTGGTTGATAATCGGGGATATCTGCATTTTGTTTATCAACTACTTGTGCCATTCGTTGAAATGTTTGTATTATTTGTTGTTTAGTAACAATTTTATGTCGTAACCAATTTGCAATTAATTGACTAGCAATACGTAATGTCGCTCGATCTTCCATTAATCCAATATTATTTATATCAGGTACTTTTGAACAACCAATACCTTGATCAATCCAACGAACAACATAACCAAGTATACTTTGTGCATTATTATCTAATTCATGTTGAATTTCTTTAGATGAAAGATTCTTAGTAAGAACTGGAATTATTAATAGATCATCAAGATAATCATTCGATAAAGAAGATTTCGAAGATAATTCAATTTGACGAGCAAAAACATCTACTTGATGATAATGTATAGCATGTAGAGTAGCTGCAGTTGGTGATGGAACCCAAGCACAATTTGCTCCAGCTTGTGGATGAACAATTTTTTGTTGTATCATTGCTGCCATCATATCTGGCATAGCCCACATTCCTTTACCAATTTGTGCTTTACCTGATAGACCATGTCTTAAACCAATATTTACATTATTTTTTTCATATGCTATTAACCATTTAGCTTCTTTCATTTGACCTTTAGGTACAATGGGACCAGCTTCCATTGATGTATGAATATCATCACCAGTTCGATCAAGAAATCCTGTATTAATGAAAACAAGTCGATCTTTTGCTACATGAATACATGCACTAAGATTAAGTGTTGTACGACGTTCTTCATCCATAACACCCATTTTAAGTGTATTACGTGGTAACTGAAGAAGATCTTCGACACGAGAAAAGAGACGTGATGTAAAAGCAACTTCTTCTGGGCCATGTTGTTTTGGTTTAACAATATAAATTGAACCAGTACGACTATTTTTAATACCATGCATTGATGTACTCTTGAGATCATGTAAAGCAATTAATGTTGTAATAACAACATCAAGAATACCTTCAGGAATTTCATGATTTTCTTTATCTAATATAGCATCAGTATATAATAAATGGCCAACATGACGAATAAATAAAAGAGATCGACCAGGTAATTGTACTTTAGTACCACTTTTTGATATATAAATACGATCTTGATTAAGTTTTCGTGTTATTGTTTTTTTGCCTTTTGGAAATTCAGCTTCTAAATTACCTTTCATTAATCCAAGCCAATTTCGATATAATTCTACTTTATCATCAGCATCAACTGCAGCTACTGAATCTTCACAATCAACAATAGTTGTTATAGCTGATTCAAGAAATACATCTTTAATTCCAGCAGGATCATTTCGACTATTAGGTCGATCAATTTGAATTTCAATATGAAGACCATGATGTACAAGAAGAATAGATTTAGGTGTATCAGCATCACCTTGATAACCAACAAATTGAGCAGGAGATTTTAGTCCAACAATAGTATCATTTTGTAAAGTAACCTATTTAATAAAAAAAATATATTAAAATAGATGTTATTATCAATCTAACATCTGATAGAATAAGAATCATAAATAAGAAATTTTCTTACTTTCAATTCTCCAGCTTCAACACTATATTTCTTAGCATTAACATGTGATAAATTATTTGCCAATGGAATATATTGATCAAGAAATTTACGTGTATATGCAATTACTTTATCACCTCGTTTTTTATTATATGTAGTTGTTTTTTCACAACCATCATTTTCTGGTATAACATCTGTACCATATAAAGCATCATAAAGTGAACCCCATCGTGCATTTGCTGCATTTAATGTAAATCGTGCATTCATTAATGGAACAACTAATTGTGGACCAGTTTGAATAGCAATTTCATCATCTACATTACTTGTATTAATTTGAAAATTATCAGTATTATTTCGTGGATATAAATAACCAATTTTATATAAAAATGCTTTATAAGCAGCAATATCATTATGTTGTCCTTTATGTGTTCGATGCCATTCATCGATTTTAACTTGTAGATCATCTCGTTTTTTTAAAAGAGCTCTATTAATAGGTCCAAATTCCGAAATAATTGTTTGAACACCATTCCAAAATGAATAAGGATTTATATTTGTACCGGGTACAACTTCTTGATTGACAAAATTATAAAGAACTTTCGATACTTGTAATGCTCCGATTCTTACACGTCCACTTGCCATTACTTTATACGTCTTATTTTATATATATTTTTAGAAAGAACAAAATATCTTTGTTGATAGTAGGTGTGCGGGTTGATTATTTCTTTGCTTTCTTTTATATGAATCGTTGTACTTTCGAATCAATAGAAACCAGGTCTCCTTTTCTTTTTCTTATCATATCTGTGTTTGAAGCCCTGAAAAAATATTAAAAAAACTAACACCTGGTGATAAATTTCTATAATAAAGGAATATTTTACTATAGAAAGAAATCAATACATGTGGATTGTCTATAATAAATCTAATGTTATAATAACTAAAATGAACAACACTTGGGAACTATTAAATCAGATGTCGCTATATACCGCTTATGTTATCAAATCCTTTTCGATATCATGTTCAATGAAATAAAAAAATAGTCTTCATTATTTTATTTCGTTAGATTTATTCATGTTCGAATGGGAATAAAAAGAAAAAGAAATTAAGAAAAAAAAAATCTTAACATAATGTAATAGATTTTTATTTCATTTTTAAATAATTCAATTCATACATTCCAAAAGTTATTGATAAGAATATTTCGAAGAAAAGAAAGAAGAATATTTATCACGTGCTTAACTTTTTACGGCTGATTATAACAAATACCCATTATACTTGTTTATATACTTTATCTCTTTCATACATTTATCATAATCATCAGTTGTTTATATGTATATACAATTGATATAAGTCAATCGATTGGATAGAATTTTCTTTTTTTATTCTAATATGGGATCCCGTCGTGGTCGACTTAATTGGTCAAATTTAGAAGTACGTATTTCGGATGATGTTATCGATAAACAACATCGTTTTACTGCTCCAATTTCATCTTCATCAATATCAACATTGACAGAAGATATTGTTGAATATGAAAAAGAGCCAAGTCCAATATCAACACCAATTAAACGATCATGGAAACCAAAGTCAGGTGTTGGTGAAATACACGCTGAACAATTTGTTAGTAATTTTATGTTGACAAGTAGCCAAAAAACAAAAAGCTTAAGCATTTCTTTAAATAATTGAATTTTCTTTTTATTTTCCATAGATGCTGAACAAACTGCTATTGATCAAAGATATAAGAAACAAATAAATAATGTCAAAAGTTCGAAAATTTCTCCTACATCAAAACCAATAAGAATATCTAATAGATTACCTTCGGTAAGAGATACAGTATTATCTCCACGTACAATAAATTTATTTGTTGGTCAACATCTATCAAATGTTTTTGTTTGTCATGTTGAATCATATTCACATGTCTATATTATGTTTGGTGATGATTATAATCGTGCAACGAAATTATTTCAAGATATGAATACTTGTAATGAACTTATTCAACCATCAACTAATATTTTTGAGTATGTAATTTTTTATGGAAATTCTTTTTTTTTTCGAATGTGACTTAGTATGCTTCATAGACCTAAAGAACAAGATTTAGTTGCTATATATCATGAAAAAAAATGGTTTCGTGGTCGATGTTTAAATTCAGTTGGTACAAATTTTAATATCTTATGTATTGATTCAGGTGTAATTATTTTATGTTCACCAAATAGTAAGAAAATCTTATTTCAATATAAATAATTAATTTGTTTGTTTAATTATAGATCTTCGTCGTTTACCAGAGATGTAAGTTGTAAATTATATATTTATTTTGTTCTATAATTTATTTTAGATTTCGAACATCTCCACCATGTTGTATTGAATGTTCACTTTCTGGTTTGCCAACAACAATAGTAATGAATTCAATGCCTGATGCAATTCATACTGAATGTTTTGAACTTTTATGTAAGTTAAAAATAATATGAATGACTTTTTTTTTGTTACTCTCAATATGTATTTATTTATTTTTTTTTAAAGATAAAGATCGTTATGAAGCAATTGTAACAAAATTAGAATCACCAAATCATCCAACTATTGTATTGTATTATGGTGATGAAAATGTAAATGATCGATTATTAGCAATTCTCAAGTTGATTTAAAATAATCAAACATGGTTTCTTTTTTGTTTACTTTCTTTTTTTCTATACTTTGAAAATATGTATACTAGAAAATATTGTATTATTGTTGTTGTTGTATTTTTTTTTGAAAACAAGCTGTCAAAAAGATCAAGCACTCTTCATATTCTAAAATAATTATTAGTAATGATCAATTTACTGTTAATATTTTAGTATACATGAATTCTAATTAGAATAGTTTATGTGAACAAAAAAAAAAAAACAAATGTAAAAAGTTTTGATATGAATCATGACCTTCAATAGATAGATGAATGTTAAATATATAGTATCGAATAGAATATTAAAATAGTTGATTGAATATTATTGTTACTGCTAAAACTAAATCTTCCTATAGTTTGGATTGAATAACGACAAATATCTGGATAGAATCGAAAATGACTGTTGAATTTCGTTAGGATCATTGAATGCTAAGAAACTTTGTATTGGTTTTTTTTTTTATTTTGAGTCTGATACTATTATAATGATGATTGTCATTAATATAATGATTAATATTAAAGCATATCTTCCGTGTTAAAAATGAAATCGATTGCGATTACCTGTGCTCTTTTGTCAATGTATCCTAGATTGATTACATACTTCTTGAAAATTAATCAATGTTGTTCTTAAAATGTTATGTTTTACAGCTCAATATTGAAATTTGGACATTTCTTGAAATATGAATATTATTTCATGTCTACACGATTTATCATGATAAAACTATGAACAGAGGAATTCATTTTCTATTAATTTACTTATACTGATATAAAACAGAAGTAATAGGTAATATATTATAATATATTGATTTCGCTAAAATGAAATGAAAAACAATCAAATAGTATCTGATGTAACAGGATTAGCAAAGTTGGTAATAACTTCACATGAACGAAACAGCGAACGATATTTTTTTCTTTATTTTATAGTCACATAGGCAAACAAATTGTTATATAATTCACATTTTATTTTATACACACTCTCAAATGTCATAGAAATTCACATTTACTAATAATCATCATTTAGAAGAAACATACATCTATCATATTCATTTTGTTCCGTTTTTTTGTCGCTCGTTACCAACGTTCTAACCCCCGCCCTATTAGATCTATATGGCATCAGATTGTTACAATTGCGCATATATTAAAAGAGCACAGCGGGAAGAAAAAAGAATGAAAATCATTTTATAAGAGACAAAAACTTAATGGTATCCAATGTCAGCATATTGGCCATTGTTTATAAGCACATCTAATGTAATTGACAATGATAATAACAAGTTTTTGAAAAGAAACACACAGAGAGAGAGAAAGAAAAAATATATAGAATGTTCGCATTTCAGCTCATAAAATCATCGTCATTCGATCGAATAGACGTTTATATCTATATATATATATATATTTAACACATAGAGAGAGAATAGCGACACTAGTATATAACTGCTTGTTACGCATATTGTCTATAATCACATATTTCTTTTCTATTTAGAACGTTATCGATTTTCACTTTTTGAACGTAAGTAAAGCGTAAAAAATGGCATCGGGACATGGTCATGGTAGTATGGTAATGAGCATGAAGCTTATTCGGCTTCTTATTGTTCTTTTTAATTTGGCATTTATTATTGTTGGAACTGTACTACTTGCTATTGGTGTTTATGTTCTTAAAGATCCTAAAATGCAACAACTTGGTCCATTACTTAATCCTGAAATTATGTCATCATATTCTCAAAGTTTAACAAATTTTCAAGTATTTGCTATTGCAATAATTGTTATTGGTAGTGCTTTATTAACAATTGGATTTCTTGGTAAAAAAAAAGTTCAAATATATATATATATATATAATTTGTTTTCTATTTCGGTTGTTATTGTTTTTTCAGGTTGTTGTGGAGCAGTAAAAGGTTTTCGATTTTTACATGTTATCTATGCAACTGTTATTTGTCTAATAATTATTGCTGAAATAACAGTTGTTGTCGTTGTTATTGTCTATCAAGGTCAATTTCGAGAAGAACTTGTTCCTAGACTTCAGAATTCAATTGTTACATTTTATGCTGGCACACCACCTTATAACTCAACATCAGCTAATTCAGTTTCACTTTCATGGGATTTTGCTCAATTTAATTTACAATGCTGTGGTGCTGCTAGTATAAATGATTTTTCAAATACTACAAATTGGGATAGAAGAAATCCATATAACGAATCTACACTCTTAGCTGTTCCTTTTACATGTTGTCCATTAGGTGCAGCTAAAAGTTGGACTCAATTACCAACAGATTTAACTCCAGCAACTACATGTGCAACAACAGGTATAGGTGCTTATTCACAAGGATGTTATGATCGTTTGGTTGATATATTACTTACATATAAGAAGAATGTTATTATTGGCTGTGTTATTGTTGGTGTTATTGAAATACTTGCTGTTATTTTTGCAATTGTTCTCTATCGTCGTAAAGAAGATTATGCTAGTTTATAAACATAAACAAGTGAAAAATTGCATTTTTTTTTATTGTTCATTCAATGACTATTTTATTCTTTTCTTTTTTTCTTTATGGTGCCTTGCGTGATATTAATAAAGAAAATGATTGCTTTTTTTTTTTGGGTATGTGGAATATAGAAATTTAAAATATTTCTTTTTCTATTTGATTAAATATAATATCGATTGGGTTATTAAAATTTAAAATATACTTGACTACATAGCAGAAAAAAAAATACGAGTAAAACTTTTTCATTAAGAAAAAACTTCTACAATCATATTATGGTGGTTAATAATACATTAGAAAATGGCTAGTATTTATTTGAGCAATAAAAATATTGGAATCAGCAATAATTAACATATATTTTAACAATAATTTGTGAGCAATAAAAAAAACTTTATTGAGCAATTTTATATTATTAAATGAACAATAATTAATTCATTAAATAGCAGTAATAATTTCATATTTTAGGAATAAATAAAAGAAAAACTGTATTATTTTTAGTTACAATCGAAAATAATAAAAAAAAAAGAAATCAAAAATATAGTATATTATTGGGTCAATAAAGCCTTTTTTGCCTGAGTGGTCTGACTTTGTTTCTTACGTATTTCTATAAGTAAATGTGTTAAATTCGTAATATGATCTTGTGTATATGATGTCTAATTTCGAAAAATAAGATCCTCCCTGTTATCACACACATGTAAGCCTGTATCTGAGATGACAGAATATACTAGGAATATATATGATACGAATAGAATATATCTGAATGATCACTTGAAAGAAAGGAATAAACAATCGAAGAGAAAGCAATATGGGAATGTATCTGACAGTAGGGAGCTGCACCAGGTTTTCTGAACTCGACTAAAGGATTTTGGTCCATTCTATTTTTTGGAATACTGAACTGTTTTTCGAACACGCATCTGTGGAGTAATGTTTCCACTTTCACACAATGTGATTATAACTGTACAAAAGACATTCAGAGTTGAAGGATTTTAAATAAAAAGGTTGAAGTTCATACTTGGACTCTATCAGACCCGGATATATGGACTGGGACATTTTTTGTTTCAAAATCTTCGGCTTTGAATGGTTGTTGTATAGTTCTAATTGGATAGTCTGAAAGAGTAAATATTAATCTACAAAATTTGTATTCGAATAACCATTCAATATTCGAGATGATAGAATGATTTCTTTGGTCGGATTCAGAAAAACCAATAGAGCTAACCCGACAAAAGAGAAAGAGTATGAATGGTGTAGATACATATATCGAGAAAGAAAGAGACCGAAAATATAATGTATAGTATAACACAACTCTGTCTTATAGCACATCTTTGGAATGTAGCATAACAAAACGAATCCATAGTGCCCATTTTTATATCAAATTTACCTTTAATTTAAGTAAATTATTGCTGATTCAGTATATTTATTGCTAAATTTCATTATTGCTCATTTCAATTATTTTATTGCTGAATTAAATATAAGTCTTAGAAAATAAATTCAATGCATGAAATTGAATTGATTATTTAATATCGGATTGGATGCTAATATAATCAACCCTTGGCAGTTATTTGAAATATTAATCATGATGTTGAAGAAAGTATTGATGTCGATTCATCGATGTAGTCCTGGTTTGATAGAGAATAATTATACTTCATGTACAAAGTGCCAAGATTAAGAATGAAGATATGGGATAATCCTTTTTTTTTGTCATTATAGAAATTAATTGAATCAGATTGGAAAATAAAATTTCATTAATCTTATATTAAACATTTTAGAGATAGAATCTTCTTTGTATTGATACTGTATTTCCTCATGACCGTATTGCAATAGCTTATAAATGAATCATTATAAATAAAGTTTATTTGTGTCTTAAATTTAAAAGCAAATCATATAAAATGCGTTATATCCTAATCATCTACTCATCTATACAAATGTGAAAGGGTAAAGTTGAAAAATATCAAAAGTGAAAATGTCAAAGAGTAAAATATCGAAGGAAAAAAGTAGAAAAAAACATCGAAGAGTTAAAATACTGAAGGAGTAAAATGTTGAAAATTTTGAATATTGAATAAGACAGTTGGAAATTTTCCAATACTGCATTGTCTATCAGTTTACTCTGTAAAATGGAAGAAAATATGGACTTTTATTTTGTTGTTGAGTGCAAGAATAATGAAAGAGAGTGAGTGTGGGTACATAAAAAGAAAAACAAGAGTCATTTCCGCAGCAATATACACACCCGTACTTAAAAGCTACTGTGAGAAGAAAATTATACAATATTTATTATTTAGAAAAAGTCATTTGTTGTTCACTAAATAGTTTCTTATATGTCCGGTTTTTTTGTATTAAAAAAATGCGTATTCTATTGTACATAAGCAGTACAACAAATGATATGAATTAATTCTTTGAATGTCATCTGCAAGATGTACAGCCTATACATGCAATAGGGCTTAGTTCATTAATTGCATCTCATCTACTGAGAAGTTTATATAGAACGGATATACCTAAAGATAAAATATTTTTCTTTGAATATTTTGACCGTTGATTCATGATAATACATGAAAGTACTGAATATAGAATAACCATTATTGATGGGTGATGAAGAATTTATCATTATTCTATGTGTAGATGAAGCCGATTTCAGTGTACCTTTGACAAAATATGAAATAGTTTAAGTTTTTATCTGTATTATTTGCGAGAAATGGTAATGATCTGTTATCAGTGTCACTATAAAATATTAGAGATTATCAAACGAATATGAGATATGATATGGATATTTAGAGATAATATCTTGACATCAAAACCTTCATAATCATATTAGAATTTATGAAAGGATAATATGGACAGCTGAACAACTAGATATATATGTAGCTTTTAATCTTTATAATAGTTCTTCAACAAGCTCATCTCATAAGACGCAAAATTCTATATATAGTTATATATCTTATTAATAAATGCTCTGTCTGTCAATTCTATTTTCAAGAAGGACAAGTTTAATAAATCCGATAAATATATAAATCTGTTCGAATCTTTTCGTTAACATAAGATTTTTAATTAAACATCATTCATGTTACTTATTGTTTTATCTTTCATAATTACTCTTGGTACTTCACTATCCCCATTTCTATCCTTTAGTCAATTGCCTTTTCATTGTCATCCATTGGTAAATTGTAATTTATCATGTCCATATCATTTTTTGTTTTGATTCAGACAAATGTGAAATCTACCAATATCGTTTATCTTCATGTTTCAATGAAACAGCTATTTTATCCAATTTTGAATGCGAATAAACACCTAACGATCTTAAATATCCATCAACACATGATTGTGTGATACTAACGAAGTAACTCATCCGATTAACATCAAATTTTTCTCATAGTTAAGACTCATAGTACAGATAAAACTCTTTAAAAAGTTCATATCATTAAACCTTTCTTCTCGATTTGTGCTCATTTTACTGAATTTTTAGTCTAATGCGGTATATTACGAAAAAAAACAGCAACAAGGAATTTTCACTTGAAATTTTTCACAACAATAAATCTTATGATCCTTTTGGTATTCTGACATGTTTAGCTCAAACAGACGTTTCTGTTTTGAAATAACACGTTTACAAAAAAAAACCAGTACTCTATTACAAAAACTCGAAACATAGTTCATGTTTTAGACATTCGATATGTCCACAAGAAATCATCTGTTAAAGCTGAAACTTACAGAACATCATAAAGATTATGAAATCGATTGTTGTGGAAAATCTTAAGTGGAAATTCCTTATTGCCGCTTTTTCGTAATATCTGTAATTGGCTGAAAATTCAGTAAAATAAGCATAACGCAAGAAGAAATGACTAATGACAAGGAGTCCTGTCTATAAGCAAAATATGAGTTAACATGCAGGACGTCAGTCGGATGAGTTCTATTGTAAGAGAAACTAGCCACTATCACCTATCATACGTGGCATATGTTGTATTCATATAAATTTTGAAGTAATAGGCACGATTTCACAACAGTCGTCTCTGTGGTCAATGCAATGATATTAACTTAAATATTGATGAACATATTGGAAGTATTAGTTTTACATACTTTTTTAAATAAGCAAAACGTTCGCTTTTCTTAGAATTTAAAAGAATCATCAATATATTTTTTATTACGGCTATTGGCAAATTCTTTCTAAACCTTATCATTAACTAATATAAATTTGTTCAAAACAAAAAGAGTAACACTAAGGTATATGTTAATTAAAAAACAAAATTCAAATTGCAAGAATATATAACGAAAAGATATAAAAAGGAAGGAATATTCATATATGTATATGTGTCATGAAAATATTTCAATCATCCGTTGTTGATGCTTCGCATGTAACTTTAATAAGTGAAACCATTTTACGCAATTGACGTAATTGTAAATCAATTTTTTCTTGTCGATTAACATCCGATTGTTTCTCGTTTGTTGCGTGTTCAAATACATCACTTTCATAAGCAAGTGCTTCACGTCGTCGTAAATTTAATATTTGTTCAGGTGGTAACTCAGCTAGAAAGACAAAAGCATATAAAAACAAACACTTTGCATTTATATATATATATATGTGTATATGCTTCAATATTTATGCAGATTCCAAAAAAGAAGCTAGGGGAAAGCATAATTCATATGCAAACATTGTGAAAAAAAAGCCAACTATATAAAAACCTCTATAAACATGGCAGAAGAAAGACATGCACTCACCCACGAATGATGTCTCTCCTAGAATATAGAAGATAATACGGAAAGAAAAGAAACAAATGAAAGTATTAGATAAGTCAAATAAGAAAAACAGATTCCCATTTTTTTCCCTTCTTTTCTTGTTGTACATTTAAACTTACGATTAAATGGTTTTAATTCATAAATTCCTGTACTAAATAGATTCAATGGTGGAGGTAATGGAGCAAGAATTGTATATTCCTTGATGATATGATAACTAATAGATAAAGAAAAAAGTAAACAAACCAATAAAAATAATCAAAAAAATATATATATA